TAGTTATAACGGACGAAAAAACCAAAACACCGATCTGCCGCTTGATATTTCTTTATTGTTACACCAACATATAAAAAGAATAAGTGAACTAAGGTCTGAAAACAAATATTACAATAATAAATCATTGTATTACTTCTGACGATGTTTCACTCTTCTTTCTGAACAGCGACCGATGAGACGATAACTGTCGTATTGATGCCTCCGCGAAAATTGGGGAAGTTGATTTTAAGCAAACAACCAAGAATTGATCGTTCAATCTTCAACTCCATTGACATCTATATTCTACGATACAATGACATGGGCGTGTTGCCGTTCAGATTTGAGGATATAGCTGATAGGAGGAGGTCAGCAAATGAACTCTGCGACGATTTTCCAACCTAGGGCGTCAACCTGAGAAGGGTTGTAGGCGTACTGCTGTAAGTCCTACAATTCTTCAAAGGGTAGCGCATCAATGAGCAGTCCAATGTGCTTGGTGTGTGATTTTGTACATATGTTCATATTGTGTATACTGAATTGGTATCATTTATCATCTAGCTGTTGATAATTTTGTTTGTGTTAAGACGTCTTACACTTGTATCATCAACCTGAGAAGGAATGTAGGAGTACTGCTGTAAGTCCTACAGTTCTTCAAGGGTAGTTCATCAAGGCAGAATGCAGCACATTTGATGTGTTGAGTGTGCATATGTTTGTGTTAAATAATTGTGTGAGTTCCAATTAATGTAATTGTCACTTAATCTTGTTTGTGTCCTGACATTCTTGAACCTACAATCGACTACCTGAGAAGGGTTGCAGGCGTACTGGTATTATTGCGATTCTTCAAAAGAATTACATCAAGACATGATCTGCGGAGTTATGTGTACTGTTTGTATATACGTGCGGTGTGTCATATTAATTAGTGCTTTCGATTCACTGTGTACGTGTTGTTTTCGTATCTTTTTGTTATGCATAATTTTGGTAAAATTTTCGTCGTGTTTACTTCTGAAGTTGTTTCGAGTCTTCTACATCCATGAAGGAATTGATTGATGTTAAAGACAGCAGATGGGTCGCGTACGCTGGGGAGGTTGTGCTGAGAATGACATGCACAAGGAGATAGTGATTAGCTGTGGAATCAACGATTGCGAATGAACGATTCTATTTAGGCTGTGGTTCCACACTCCGGGGAGAAAGAGTGTAAACGACTGAGGCATGCATACGTCACCGTTACTAGAATTGAGGCAGAATGAGTGACAAGCGGTCGCAATGGTAATTGATAGTGAATAGATAAGAGGATGTGCAAAGAGCATCATGAGGTGCTGCTATGGTCACGTTGCATTCTGCAAGAGTCATTCTAGCAAGTGGCGATTATGTTGCAAGATGTCAAGAGGAGGCCTTTATCTGAAGGCGCAGGTCGTCATCGATGTGTGAGATTGTGCTGTGGGTATGCTTGTGGTGTGTTGGCTTTCCTATTTGTTTTCCATTTCACCTTTGTCCGTGTGACCCAGGTTCTCGCAATGGCATCCAAGTCAACGTGTATTGGTCGTGACGGAAAATAGGGATGGATCCCTTTTTTGACGGGGAGTGTCAATGGAGTTGAAGATTGAACGACCACTTCATGGTTGTTTGCTCAAACCCAACTCCTCTATATTTTTCGCGGGCCATCAATCCCTCAGTCATCGTCTCATCGTTCGCCGTTTGGTGGAACACAGGAAACTATCAGAAGTATTATCGCGATTTATTGTTATAACATTTATTCCTAGACCTTGTGTGATGACCTTATTGTTGGTTATATGTTGGCTTAAGAATAAAGGATTGAGTCGCCAGTCAGTGTTTTGGTTTTCGCGTTGGTTAATACAAAGTGTTTCTGAAAGTCTTCGAGGGACAGTGAAAGGTCCAGCCTAGTAAGAGCTGGACATTGACAGTTTTTGAGAGTTGCTTGACATGCTCGATTCTCGCTGAATGTCGTGGATTACGACAACCATTGCGTGTAGTGAATTTAAAACCTTAAGATCTAAATCAACTCGCAAACAACAAAGCCTTAATGCTCTAGAATGCAAATTATATTCTTTCTATGCAAAATTTCTTAAAAGGGACGACTTTTTGATCATTAATTCGTCTGGGCTATCAAGACAATTTTAAGCATTACTACGAACACAATACAGCGAAATATTGCTATTTTCGGCTACAGAAGCCTAAAACTGGTCAAATATAATCTGTTTTTACAAAACTGAGTGCTTATAACTCCTCTATAAGCGTGAACACGATAATCCATACACTGCGGGAAAGTATATCGTGGCGACGTTTATCCTCACCCATAACTCAATGCTAATATAGATTGAAACTATTCCTGGTGGCAAAAGCTAAACAAAAATCCACTATTTTCCACGATTTTCACTTCTCCATTTCAGTGTTTTTGCTAATTCTTATTGCTTTACTCCACCATTTTCCTTGTTTTAAGGACTTTTTATATAAACACAGCTGCCGAAGATCAGTAGTGAAGTCTCTTTGAGATGAAGTATGTGTCCCTGAAAAGTGCACTGGTGTCTTATCGTTTACCATATTTAACGGAGCTATCAGAACTGAGGGAACAAGACATCTGTACTGCAACTCTCCTAAGATATGGAAACATCACATGAGACCAAGAAGTAAGCCCTGAGAATTAATTATATCTCTGCATCTGAGAAAATCCTGGGTATTAAATTCCTCAAAGGCAATTGTGATCGACATCGTTCAAGAGGAATATACCGGAGCACTAAAAATTCTACATCAAGATAACTTGCCATCATTAGCCGTCATCGTGAGAATTCACGTTAGAATTAAAAAACCGAGAAATATGAACCTTTTAGATGGGAAATGCAGGTCACTTAGTCAAGCGGTTACCCTGGAGAAATAGCCAATTTTTTCAAAAGATGGTTAGCAGGGTTCCAGACAGCCTGCTCAAAACTAGTACACCTAAACGGAGATACTTAAGAAATTGCTAAGGGGATATATGCGCTGTTTAGTGTAAACTTTACCAGACTGTACACTGTGGGGAGCGACCAAGCCGTAGATTTCCTGTGTACCACGGACAAATGTGTGAATGACGTAGCTCTTGACACTCAAGAAACTGATCCAGCTATTGCAACTCCCGAACTTACGTCTGGTGTGGCATGTGCTGATGATAAGATTTGTGAGTAGTATATAGATGAATACGTATATCATCTGCACAAGCATCTGATAGCTGGTAGATGGACTCAGTGATGAAAGGAAGAAACGAACTGTCCTTGTGTAACGGCGTGGAAAACCTGAAGGGAAGATAAAGGGGCACAACGCGGGAGCCATGTAAAGATTGTGACTTTAATACCTGGTAGATGCGATTTGTTTAGTTCTGTGTATCGAGTCACCAACCAGATAGTTCTGCTGCTAAATACTCTTGTGTCCCGACGTTGCACCAGTCGCAATGGCATATCTTCCATTCTACTAAATAGCTGTGGCAATGATGTGGAATTACTTTTTCCTACGCTAATGTAAGCGGATAGACATTATCCCCTGACGTTATCACAACTTCCAATAAAGTTCCACAGGGCATATTCCTAACGAAATTCCAGGCTTATGGAATGACTGGAAAGTTTCTCGCCCCTGTAAGTTCTCTCCTCGCAGAAAGAGAGCAGTCAGTCACAACACACTACCAGTTGTCTGTAACTAAGCAAATAACCGTGGGTCTAATATAAAGTGGCACTGTTGGCTCTATTATACTTCACGACCTCAAAATAGCATAAGACTTTTTGGCTAGTATTAAAGACATGCTGCTCTGCGATGAAGTTATATGTTATTGATTTTGCCCTACTATGGTTATCTCCGATTGAGATGCATTCATCTCAGCGACCACGATGTACTCTTCTCCTGAGGTTTGTACACCCATATTACGGTATCCAGGCTCCGAATGTCCCTGTGGGGAAGGCATCTGTTGTACAGTATGGGCTACCGTACATCACTATCAGAACAATATCCTATCTGTGGTGTATAAGACTGCAACATTTGTGTTTACATGACTCACTGTCATGTTCAATCCTTTCGTTGCTAAATTATTATTGAGTTAGATGACACCATTGTCAGCTCTATGGATCTACCTGTCTGCTATATATAAGGTTAACTTTCATGGGCAGAATTCGTCACGTCACTGATATAAGATGTGATACAAGATACTTTGATGACTATAACATGATGTTCAGCCTGGTGGAGTGGAGGCACTTGTGTGTTATACCATTGGTTTGAGCTGGTGCTCAGGAGTTCCACCAAAGGGTTGTGGGACCATATGTCCTCAAGCTACAAAATGGCTCCCTGAATTTCAGTTCTGAGGGTTATTTAGCCAGGAATAAACATGGACAGAAGTAGATAACCTGTCCCTGAAGTTTTCGATTACTGCTCAGAATTGCGTCTCTCTCAGCCTCGAAAATTACTGTGACTCTCAGAAAGCAGTCAGAAAGTTCGGTTGCTCAGTCAGCTCTATGGCACTGGTTAATGATGTCGTTCACTATAGTAGAGATTACCTTGTTTATGTTAAGTTTAAAAATAGTTTTCGAACTAGGAAATTCTGTCTGCTTTTCACCTGATTCTCTAATCCTGTGAAAGGTCAGGTGTATTATAGTCTAAATTCTTGCTTTGGAGGATGGGTCATTTGCTATCAACCTAAAGAAAATTTATCACATTTAGAGTTGCTTTAGTTCACCTGATGTGTAAGCGAATACTTCAATATTAGAACATCTGATTTTAGTGGTTTTTAGCTATCCCTACGGCCATAGACTGGCTGTACAAATTATGTTATTTGACAGTGCGTTTGACTGTTCTCGGTATTCCTATTTCTACAAGGGGACCAAACTAGCTGAAGTTGGAATATTCTTATTTTCTCTCTTCGATTATTTCGTTCGATTTATATAATTGGTCGATCGTGTTTGGGGATATGCTTTTCACCACAAAATACGTGCCTTTTTCTTTCGAAATTATCTAATCAGTTGAAGTTTCCACAACCTATATTTAGATAGGATGTGTTAAGACTTGTTGAAGTTTGCATTACACACCGCCGTTTTCGCTACTAACGCTACACCTGCGTGGTTAAGGTTTACTCAAAATAAACTTAGCATCCCAAGTGATTTTAAAACCAGAAATATGGAGTTAAACGGAGTCAAAGAAACAGACGTAATTGCAGTTACCAATGGAGAATCCTCTAAGACAGAAAATACCAATAAAGCAGAGGATGTACTGGATGACACACCCTACACAGTGAAAATAGTACCTACACATTCAGAGCCGTTTGAATTACAGGTAATAAATTAGAAAACAATTAATTCCTTTAAAGGTTAGCTCGTTTGAGCTTGTACAAGAAGTCCATCGTGTGTTGATGGACCGTGAAGAAACATGCAGTTGTACTTGCTTTTCATTAGTCCTCAACGGTCAGACGTTAGATATGTTCGCAGAACTAAAGTCAGTTGAGGGTTTGGCCGATGGCGTCGAATTAAAAGTCGTGGAAGGTAGAGCTTGTCATTAATCTCCTAACTTACATTTTCAGAACGTTATAGCGTTCGAGAAGCGAAAAATCATGTCCGACATATTCATGATCTGCTTCATTCGATAGAACCCCATGATGCGTATGCTGGTCGTGAGCAAATGTCTTTGTCATTCGTTAATACAATAGCTGGAGAACTAGGTAAACGGATAGATTCTGCACACCTAAGCCAATATAATTTTGTTTTTCCAATAATGAATACATTTTGGTTAGTTAGTCTACCATGTGTATTCAAAAAACGTGGGATTAAACACGCCTTTCTCAGCATATTTCTTTGGTTAGACTGTTCAAACTAGATGACTTGTAAACCTGACTAAATGCATTCTATCTCAGTCATGTGGTAAGTTGATAACGTACTGGCGTGCTCAGATTTCTCCTGTCGATAGGCATGTGTCAGTAGTTGATTTCGACAGGAAACGGGATGAATACTTAATTCTACATTTGTCGTACGCTTATGCTATAATGAGAATGAAAACTTTTGACGTCTACTGAACTCTTTGTCTCACTGACTAAGTCAATGTGTTCATCTTTATTACTAAATGCTGTGGTAACAGATTACTGTAATAATTGACTAAGCTTCTTGTGTCTCTGCTTCATTGATGGAATTTGCATAGATTGCTTGCAACGTGTACTAGGAGAACTGCTACTTTACGACCTGTGTCTGTCCGCTATTGTAAGAACCCTCATAAATACTCCATGAAAATGCTTTTTTCACTAAGTCAATCATTGCTCATCATGTCAAGATTGAGATTGAATCCGTTCACCATTGTAATTCAGCTGCCATTTCACGTTCCTTTAAGTTTTAAAGGAGTTGGACCCTAATTCATCCATTCGGCTGAAAATCTATCTCAGCTATGAATAATGTAGGATCCTATGGGCATGTGGACGATGCATTAATATAGAAAAAGTTCGTATGTTTCTAATCAGTGTGCATTACTATGCGGTGGTCAGAGTCCTTGCCAATTTTCTTCATCGCTTAGGGAATGGAAAATTAGGGACTTATTGTCAGCTCATTTCTTACTTCTGTTGGACCACATAAATTTGTCTTACACTCTATTCGAAATGTATTCTGATGAAACCATTTGACCCCACCCATTTGCCTTATACTACAAACTACATCTAATTAAAGATACTGATTTTACTCAAACCTTCATGTGCCTTTACTTATTCCCCTAGTGTTTTGTTTCTATGCCATCATATGAGAGAGCCAGCTGTTAAAACACTAACTCCTTAGAAATCTTTTTAGACTCTTTCATGAGAAATAATGCAGCCACATCTTGTCTTTGTCGTCTGTTCCTGGCACTGCAATATTAAGGAAAATGTTGGGTCACAATAGTATCCACTAATTATGAATTACATACACATTTCGCGACGTGTATTAACGGGCTTCCACAGTGACAGTTTTGTTTGTTGAACTGCACTCATCATGCTGGTAACGCTCAGTTTTCTTATCGTTTCACCCGTTTATTTCTCACAGAACGGAAACAGTTCCAAAATCGACTAGATATGCGAACAGATTTCATACCTCCTGAATATGTTCTACCCGGTTCTGGAACAAATACTGTCCCTCCACTCTTGCCTCTGCATCCTTTGGATCGCGATGGGAAGCCTGTAAAGTGTGTTCGTCAGTTGAATTATAGTAACTGGAACCCACCGCCTCCTGCAAGGCGATTACTGGGTGATCTAATATATTTATTTTTCCACACAGTTGAAGATAAAAGGTACCACATCACTGCTTGCCCGAGAGGATTTTATGTAAATATGTAAGTCAAGAAGTTTTTTTTGTACTTTCGAAATAACCTGCAATCATAAGTAGTAACCCCATCATTTAACTATGTATTTAGGCGGTAGTTGTGATGCTGTTATCTGAAATACATGTCACTTTACCCATTTTTTGCAGATAAGTCTTAAGAATTTTAGCTAACTATGGGTTCAAGTAGATTTTTCATGCTTTTGAAAAGCTAAATTCTAATGTTTTATGTACTTCTTGTTTTCTGATGTGCGTCAAAGTGACGGAGGATGCAGCAGTTTGTTAGCCTAGCGGTGGAACCTTTTGATCACTTCTCTTCAAAGGCTCAGTGACGAGAATGGTTCTAAGACAAAATCTAGGGGAGATTATAGGGGCTTACCTTAATTTTGTAACTTATTTTGGGTACCAACATCTAGAGTGAAGATGGAAATAACGAGGTCTCAAAATGATAAGACTGACAAACTGCAGTGACCTATGAAGTCACTGGCAACTGGTCTAAATCCCTCGTGGAATCAAAATTATGCCGGGAATAAAGAGATAGTGTTGTTCGGCAGTTGAAAACTGTCATTGGAGGGGATAATGTAATTACTATTGCACATTCGGTTGTTGCCATTAATGAAGTTGCCTTTTAATCAGTGTCCCTGCTGTGATTCAATACATTATTAGTAGGTGACACATTATTTGTATTATTTCCTCGCCTTTTTATCTTGTCCTTTTTGAAACAGTTCCCCTTACTAAAGGGTTAATAAGTTTTTGTTACATCTGTCGGGTCGTTTCTTTAGAAATTTCATTTTAATGACGCATAGAGTTATGCACAGAATGTCTACTGTCATTTTTGCTTACCGTACGAGACTTATTGGATGTTGCACTTACAGAAATTTCCTTGGTACTGTTCCTCCCACAAATACATTTAGTGGGATATCTTGTTCTATTCCGCGTAGATCCAAGTGTTTGTATGCGAACTTATAAATTTCTGCACAGGTAGACTACTAAGTTCTCGTCTGTAACTCGGAGCTTTCATAAAAAATGTCCTGAAACATTTTGGCAGTTTTAGCAATCTTTGCAGTGTTAACATTCCCTAGATTTCAGTTATGCTTATCTCATCCGTTCACCAGCAGATTTGCAGATTACGTTTCTATAACAAGTGCCAATATGGTTACTTACCATTACTTATGACCTTTGTTAGGATTTTATTATTTTTATAGCAAATTGTACTAAATATTATTCTCTTTTTACTTTAGGTCAACTGATGATCATTTCAATCCACATCCAGTGCAGCATGCTTATGTGGCACATTCATTGATTGATCTGCTGCGTCAGCTTAGCCCAGGTTTCAAACGTAATTTCGAGGCCCTTCTTAAAGCTCGAGCAGCAAAACATCCATTTGAACGTGTCCCAACTCCATACCAAGTTCATTCTTGGTTAGCACCACTTTTTGAACACTCTCCAGACTCGGTGAGAAAGGAAGAAGGTATGTTTTTGCACAAAATCTTCGTTCTTGCTATAGGTGTTTTAGACTTATTATTGTAAATTTGAAATATATCATTTGAAAAGCCGAAAACTGAAGTCAAAAAATTGAAACAGCGTAGGAAGTATTTTACTTACTCTAGTTCGGATTAGTAAAAATTTTTGTGTGTGGTTTGAAGCTGATTTTTTTGTAAACAGTTGCCGACGTACATGTGAACAAGATCACTACTTTGTTGAGACATCATGAAACGAAATACTGGGACGTATTTTGTGGAATGTTAATGAGCAAAGCTTTATAGACAGACGAGTTACTTTTGCTGTGGTAACGAACCATATTATCTGGTTACTTAAAGTTTATGTCTGATTGTTTTGACAGTCTTAAGATTGTAGGCTTGTGTATTTCATAATTATATTATTCAAAAGACAAGGAAATTTTTCACCGGAACTTTTAGTATCCATTGACTTCACCAAGTAGATGTGCGTCGGTGGCACAGCGGTTAGGACTCTCGCCGACCATGCACATGGCCCGAGATTCGATCCCCTGCCGACGCACACCTGATATCTATGGTCAGCCTGCAAAATTTGGGCTACTCATATCACATGCTGAAAATTCCAAACTTGTAGCAAAAATACGGTGTGGAATCAAGTTGTAATAAGAAAATAATAAATAAATAAAATAAACCACTTTGATACCTGTGCATATACATCTCCTGTTTAGTGGGCCCCCTTCTTAAATGATGATGTTACTCTAAGGAAAACACTAAATTTTATCACCTGTGACTGACAAGAAAATATAATGTCTGGTTGTTTAAAACTTCAATTCTAGTTATCTAAACGGTATGTACTAGCAGTATCATTGTCTTACTGCCATATAAAGAATTTCAAATTTATGGAAAATACATTATTATTAATTGGCTTTTAACAGCATAAGAAACAAAACAGTTTGAAAAGAAAGTCGAGTGTTTCTACTCACTTACTAAGAGTAATAATGGGTGATGAGTGCACTTGAGCACAATTTCATGCACCAGATTGTACGGCAGTATGAGGCTAACTGGCTTTCTTTGTTGGGACTGACTGTTTGGTTTCAACATAGAACTTCGTACAGAAGTGCAGCAGTTCGAGTTGTCACACTCCATGTAGCACACAAAGCGAAAGAATAGAGTAAAGACAGATTCAAACGAGAAATAATAAACACAAGTGTGAGGGAAAAAATAATAGTAGTATGAAAGAACAGTAGATTTTTATTGGCTTTTACAAATCACAAAGAGTGAATTCATCTGCGCCAGCCACTGAGAACGGTTTTTAGCTATATCATCAATTGTCTGCAGTTGCCATTGGTTCTAGGGACTCCAACCACCCAGTCAATCTACACCTCCCTACGTGACTGGCTTAAACTAACTGTTATGGATTTCATTGACGGATACCATCTTTTGGTGTCGCCACCACGTGCTAGCTCTTTTCCTACTTGATCGGTCCTATATTAGCTAATATTTCCTGTCGATGAAAGAGATGGCTAAACATGCATGCGTAACGCGTGTTATAACCATCTCGATCGATGTACCTTCACAGCCTCGTCTATTGATTTTATCTCCTTACCTAGCATTCTACGCCTAACCTCAATATCACTTAGCCACTCTATTATTCCACTTAACATTGGAGATGGAATGGAGACACCTACGATCAAAGACAGTTCGCCTTTTCATGTCTTCATCTTTCAATGGCCACGCCTCCTTTACAACCATGCAGAAGGGCAGAGGGAACTGCTGAGCAGCATACAAGTCTAGGTCGTAGTGATTTTCGACTGCTTTACTCTATGAGCAAAGCTAGTCGAGATAAAACTAGGCTGAAGGGGGTTATACAAAAATATTGCACTAATCCGTGAAGTCTATTACTGTTGAGTTCAGCCTAGTAAATGTGGAAAGACTTTTTGGTTGGGGTCATCGGGAGGCTTTCGGTGATATTCAGAATCGTTCAAATGGTATTCAAGTACTGTTATTATCCAGATTCTGGAAATTCGCACTAACTTAATTATTCTTTTTCGAATATATCGATCCTTGTTCATTGTAGTCCCTTCTCTACTTTTATGAATGCTTCTTCGAACTGTGTCAGCATGAACTAGTGTATTTTTGCACAAACCTCTGTGGCGTTAAATCAACCAGCCATTTTTGAATCCACATCCCAATATTTTTAACCAGTAAACTGCAGATCCATATGACACATGTGAGAAGGGAATCTGGATACAAAAGGTGTTTGTGTTCAGTTTAAGTCATCGATGGTTTGAATTCATGAAACAAGACCTGAAAAAGTGTGGTTAATGAGCTTGATCTGAACAGAGAAGTTTGTAATAAGCACTGAAACTTAATATTTACAAAATCACCTTATAGTTTCGGGGAAATATTGGTTGGCATTCAGTTGTTTCTGTTAGGTGTAGTAAGTTCTTATCTCCTATCGCTTAACTATTTGTGAAATTGAAGATGTCACTAACACTCGGTTCATTCTTTCTGTGAAGGTGTTTATTTTGTGAACGCATTTAATCGTAGATACCTTAACTTTTTCTGCCATAATGTTTTTTTGAACAAACAGCATTTTCTTCGCGTATGGCATGTGAAGAAAACCTTCCCGGTCAAACAAGAGATTGGAATGAAGAGCTGCAAGTGACGCGTGAACTTCCACAGACACGTCTTACAGAACGTCTGCTTAGAGATCGTGCTATCTTTAAGTCGAACAGTGATTTTGTTGCCGCAGCAACTCGTGCTGCTGTTAGTGTTGTAAATGGTGATATAATGGCTATCAACCCTGGGGAAACACGGAAACAACAAATGTTTATATGGAACAATATGTTTTTCTCACTCGGATTTGATGTCAAAGAGCATTACAAGCATTTTGGTGGAGAACATGCTGCATATGTTGCCACAGTAAGTCATATAGGATATTTTTTGAGGTCCCAATTACCCAGAATTGTATTTGAGGGCTGCACGGAGTTGCTCGGCCTGAAGTAGATGGAGCGGGACTCGAACCCGGGACCCATTGGTTGAAAGTCGAAGGCTTAAGCCAATGCACGACACCTTTACCATATAGGATTATTGTATAGCAAGTATTTGTTATTTGTAGTATATTGCCTCTACTCACTCAAAAGTTGGAGTTTTAACCAGTCAGCTTCAAATCTCCTTCGGCAATGTAATTTATGTGATGTTGATCGGTAAAATGCCCATGACTCGTCATTCTGTCCTTAAGTTTTGTGTTGATTGAATGCTTAAAAGTATTGTAGTATTTCTATAATTTAAGTTAAAAATTCAAATATTTAATCAGCAGCTAATCAGCACAGTACAAGTTATGTATAATGAGAAAGTCGTTTGATGTATAGTATCACAGATATTGTTCGTCACTCTGAAATCAGTTTGGAAATCTTCTGCACTCAGCAGAAACAACAAAATTCGACTTTTCAACGCCAAAATTAAGTCAGGGAATGCTTCCATATGGGTCAAAAACTTGGAGTGTGTGTGCCACGGGAAGTACTTCTAACAGTGCGGATTTTGGTTAACAACTGCCTCTTCACTGCATATTCATGTTCAAATGACTAAAAAGAATTAGCAATAAGAAACTATGAGAGAGAATCAACCAAGAATCTTTTGCTGAACAAAAAATGCCGGAGAAAACGGAGATAGATCGAGTACCCACTGAGGGGACCATTAGGTGACATCGTGCCCCAGACCATCTCTCGAGTGTAAATTAAGGGCGAAACGATAAGTTCGGTGTAGGCCCAAAAGTGACATGGAGGAGGTCGTGCGAAAAAGAGATGAGAGACTGTGGACAATCTTGGTGCGAGCTGAAGATTACTTCAGAGAGTAAGACATAGTGGAGGTGTTCTGTTGAAGCTCTTTGTTCCAATCGGAACTCAGGGGAATAATAATAAAGTTACAGACATTACAGTAAAAACAAATTTCATTTGATGGCTGAGTCCTATCTTCTCTCCACCAATACAGGTGAATCAACTGAATCATACTGCATTGTCCACAGGTTGATGTTGTGCAAAGCTCATTGGCTGTCTGTCTGTTTTCGACATAGAACTTTCCACAGATGTGCGGCAGTCCAAGCCGCCACACTCCCTCCCTGTAACACACAAATCAAGAGAAGAAAGTAGAAGAAATGCATAATAGAGACAGTAAACAGAGATATAAGACAAAGGAATACTAATAACAAAGAACAATATGGTTTCATTTGAAATCATAAGTCACAAGGAGTAGGTGTATCTGCACGAGCCATTGAGAACGATGAGTTTGAGCCATGTCACCAATTGTTTCCAACCATTGGTTCTTACCGCCCCGAGGACCCCAACTAGTCAGGAAATCTACACCTTCCTACGTGGCTGGCTTAAACTAACTGTTGTGGATTTCATTGACTGGTGCCATGTTTTGGTTTGACCACCAGTGGCTCTTTTCCAGCCTGACCCTATATCAGCTAACATTGCCCATTGTCGAGGGAGGCGGTGACCACGCATGCGTAACACATGTTCTAACCATCTCAGTCGATGTAATTTCAGAACTTCGTCGATTGATTTCCCCTGCTTACCTGTCTGTCTGTCTGTTTTCGACATAGAACTGCTTACCTAGAACTTGACGGAGGCCTAACCTCAATATTGCTCATCCTATTATACCACTTTACATGGGAGATAGAGTGCCGGCACCTATGATCAAAGACAGCTAATCTTTTCATGTCTTCCGCTGTCAATGGCCAGGTTTCACTGGGAGCCATAAGGGAGGGCGGAGTGGACTGATGAGCAGTACACCCGCCCTTTGGTCGATAGCCAGTCGGATATCACGTCTATGCCAGAGACGGCGTAAACTGGCATATGCGAAACTAGCCCTGTGTCCGTGATGAGATTTCGTCAGAGATCAACCTTTTAGGGCTTATGGTATTTCCGAGATAAGTGAAGCGTTCAACGTGCTCTACCACTTCACTCCCTATTTCTAGGGAGTGAAGCTCATTGGTATGTGCTTCCTACTGCCAACCACTGAGTGGCCAGCTCAACTCTCTGATTAACTCATTAGGTTGAAGAAAGCAAGAATAGGAGGACAAATACGATATTTTACTTTATCAGTTCCCATCACCTGCATACTTAAAGTATATTCACACTTTTACGACTGCTAAATTTTCCGTTGTGTTAAAATCTTTTTAATCTCATTTTAAGAAGACAGTTGCAGCGAAGAAAATTTTCTTTTCGACGAAGTCATCATCTAGGCTGTACATTCGTGTATTTATCTCATTTTCTTTCTTATTTTTTTATAGTCCAGTGACTTATGTGGAGTTCGTGCCTACTCTATGCTAGATCAACCAGGACTTCATACACTTGGAACAGCTATTATTGACTACCGGGGTTTTCGTGTTACAGCTCAAACAATTATACCAGGTAAGACCTATGTTAAAGCATAAAAAAAGGGTTTTGCTAAGAAATTATGCTCACCCATGTATACAACTTTCACTATGTAGATCAGAACAATCTACTTTTACAGTAAGGCTTATCAACAGCATACTCAAAGAGCTGACTGGCTGCAACATTGAAATTTGCTCAGAAGTGCAGTGGTTGCCAGGTGTCACACTCCATATAGCACACAAAGGAAGGTAAAAGTGAGATTCTTAAGAATAATATTAAGCAGAAATATTAGGGAAAACAGTGAGGTTCCGTTAATTAAGGGGGGGGGGGTCACAAAGAGTGAGTCCATTTGCGTCAGCCATTGAGCACGATTTTGAGCTATATCACCAATTTTCTCCATCCTTTGGTCCTTGGAGTCCTGTAGATCCCAACCATGAGGCAAACACTATCCTAGGTGGCTGGCTCAAACTAACTGTCAGAGATTTCATGGACTAATGCCAAGTTTACTCAAAGAGCTGCGTGTTACGAAATCGAATCACTGAACCACCATTGAAGTCTCATTGACTTAGTAGTCATTTTAAGATTGCGAAAGCAGTGTTAACATTTTTCGCAATACAGTAGCGTCAACAAAGTTATTGCGCCCAACAGCACAACACATTAGTTTCAAACGAAAACTAAAGATCCTCGCGAGACTTCATCTATTCATCCATTCTCCCCTACAGTCATGTCTTCCAATTACATACAATCATTCTCGCCCTGTTTTGTGAATTTCTATAAACCATTTCGAAATCTGACAACGGAAAGTGGTTCCGTCCAGTGTAAGGTCTTGTATCAATCTCTGTATCTACCTGGCGAATGGTTACTTATAGTGTCAGAAAACCAGTGATGAAATGTTTAGTCAATAGTTAACGTAAAAATATGTTTAATTGTCTGCAGGTTGTTCTGCATGTTCCTACTAAGGGCTGAAGAATCCGAGTATCTGTTACCAATATATATTTACATATCATGCGTGGGCTTTGGTCTCAAAGACGTTACCTGAGACGCGATAATAATGTCCACACAGCAAATTAAATGGAGATTTGAGGAATAAACTCTTCTACCTCTGCAGTCAGCAGCCATTAACTTGAAATATCGATCACAATTTTTTCCGCTTCCTATCGATCTACATCTATGTACTCTTTGTGAATTGTATCAGCGGCACACGACACAGAGATGCACTACATTAAAAAGAAACCAAATTCTAAAATAGTGTAAATTTTATAAGTTGTAGTGGATTCTAGTCGGTTTTCTTCGTGGGAAATGTGACATTTACAAATTTAGTTATTCTTCGGGTGTGCTAGATGAATAATGACGGGAAATGTTTTTCCTAATTCACATGAATAATTCATTTTTGGAGACGACAGAAAAATATGTTATGCCGTTTAGAGTTAAAGGATGTGAACTTACATTATTTGAATATCAGCACACATTTTGGTAATATACCTAATATCGAGAAATGACTATTTCACTCATTATTTGTTCATTGAAGGCCTAAAAATTACTTTTAACACCCATATAAAATGTATTTTCAACCATTATGGTTAGCAGTTTTATCATTCAATGGTTTATTTTTTCTCAAATGACTTAACAGAGGCGATCAGAGGAGTTTTTAAAGAAACTGGAATCATGCGTTTTAAACGCGTATATTGCCTCTTACAGCGTTCTGCCGTTGTTACTGATGATTCCCATTTGAGATCAAAGATTGTAGAATATATTGTTTCTGAACTTTTACTTGGTTATGACATTTAAAATGAATGGTTTCTGTGTGTGTGTGAAAAATATTGTAAACTTTGTTTTTGTAGATTGTTGTCAGTTTCATATATTTTCTGTGCCAACTTATTGTCTATGCGATTCACTCCTGTCAAATGCTACGGAACTGGACACTGCATCGACTCACTGCTTGCATAAAGATAGGTAGAGAGTGTTGCCTCCTTCACCAACCTACATCAATCTCTGGCATAGACGTGATATTCGTCTGGTTATCTATCAAACGACGTGTGTACTGCGCACCAGTTCACTCTGTCTTCCTATATAACTGTGAGCGAGACATGGCCATTGGAAGCTGAAGACATGTGAAGGCGAGTTGTCTTTGATCATAGGTATCTCCCTCCTGTTTCCCATGTTAGCTTGTATAATAGGGTGAGTAATGTTGAGGTTAGGTGTTGAATGTTAAGTACCTACGAAAAGTCAGTCAATGTGGTTGTGAAGCTTCATGGGGATTCAGATGTCTAGGACGTTTGTTACGCATCCCTAGCCATCGATCGACTCAATGGACGGGTAATGTTAACTGATCTATAAGATCTTTCAGTTTGGAAAAGAGGCTAGCACGTGGTCGTCAGACCAAAACCTGGCATCGATCAGTTCATGAAATCTTTGACAGTTAATCTGAACCAGTCATGTAAGGAGGTGTAGACTGACTGGCTGGATGGGGTACTCTGGATGGTGATATAGCTCGAACTCGTCGTCACTGGCGAAGATGCTTTCTTTATCACTCACATTTCTATTCGTTATAGTCCTTTTAAACCTCTTTTTCTCTCTGTTTGTGTGGTACATGGAGTGTGGCAAGTTGAACTGGTGCACTTCTGTTCAAAGTTCAATGTTGAAACCAGTGAGTCAGTCAGTCATCTATTGAAAGCAGTGTAGGTGATAATAATGATTTAACACAAAATAACCATTTGCAGGTTTGTTCAATAGAAAATAAAACATTAGTGATTGATTAGTAATACCTCTTGACTCTCCCCAAAAATATGTGTGTGTGGGTAGAATGGAGTTTGAGCTTGTCCATAGTTCATAAACTTGATTAAATCTAAGTGCGTCATCTGTTAAATGAATGAATCATAGCGCTTGATCACTGACTAGTTCTTTTTTGTTTAAGCATTAAAGTACACAGATTGTGTTATTGTCAGGAGTTAGTTTGTAAGGATTTAATTTGTTTGAAGTTCCATCGCGGATTGATATCAGTTGGAGAACCTTTGGAAGTCATTAAGAAGTACCGGACAGCTGTTTCGTCCTAGAACTTGGGACTCTTCGGCAGTACGCATCCACAGGTTCGAATCTAGGACCTTCCAGTTACAAGGAAAGCTTGTAGACCATTCAACCACTAGGACCCAATCCAAATGACCAGTCCATGAATTCTAAATTCTACCAGTTCGTGATTTTAGCGCGACCACTAACCAGTAATATCATCAACAAGTGTTTGTCCTCACTCCCGACCGCATATTTATTATGGGCGTCTATACTATGCATCACTGTGCTTGTTTATAAAATTTGCTGGGTTTATCACTGCTATTTTTTCAATGCTCACTTTTTTATATAGGTATCCTAGAGAAAGAACAAGAACAATTGGTTGTGTATGGTTCAATTGATTTTGGGAAAACTGTGCTGACAGACAAACGTTATGAAGAGATACTGTCTAAAACTGCAAAACAATTGAAGATTAGACCGCATAAGTGAGTTTCACTTGTTTGTTGTTGTTATTTTTCGCGTATTTTTGCCTAGTAATAAAAAGACGGGGAGTTTCAACAGTGCCTATTCAGTAATAAAAGTGTGTAGGTATTTGGTTACCGCTATACACCCTTCATATGTGAGGATAACTGCCCAGTTGCTTGTGCCTTAAATATGGTTTGAAGTAGCGTTTAAATCTAGGAAATACCACTTGTAAAGGTGTTATGTAAATTATTTAGCCACTCCACGATCTTTAGTCTGTCTGTCTGTTTTCGACATAGAACTTTCCACAGATGTGCGGCAGTCCAAGCCGCCACACTCCCTCCCTGTAACACACAAATCAAGAGAAGAAAGTAGAAGAAATGCATAATAGAGACAGTAAACAGAGATATAAGACAAAGGAATACTAATAACAAAGAACAATATGGTTTCATTTGAAATCATAAGTCACAAGGAGTAGGTGTATCTGCACGAGCCATTGAGAACGATGAGTTTGAGCCATGTCACCAATTGTTTCCAACCATTGGTTCTTACCGCCCCGAGGACCCCAACTAGTCAGGAAATCTACACCTTCCTACGTGGCTGGCTTAAACTAACTGTTGTGGATTTCATTGACTGGTGCCATGTTTTGGTTTGACCACCAGTGGCTCTTTTCCAGCCTGACCCTATATCAGCTAACATTGCCCATTGTCGAGGGAGGCGGTGACCACGCATGCGTAACACATGTTCTAACCATCTCAGTCGATGTAATTTCAGAACTTCGTCGATTGATTTCCCCTGCTTACCTGTCTGTCTGTCTGTTTTCGACATAGAACTGCTTACCTAGAACTTGACGGAGGCCTAACCTCAATATTGCTCATCCTATTATACCACTTTACATGGGAGATAGAGTGCCGGCACCTATGATCAAAGACAGCTAATCTTTTCATGTCTTCCGCTGTCAATGGCCAGGTTTCACTGGGAGCCATAAGGGAGGGCGGAGTGGACTGATGAGCAGTACACCCGCCCTTTGGTCGATAGCCAGTCGGATATCACGTCTACATCTCCCCTGAATCGCAATCTTCGGAACGCTGATTTTTCTTCGGTACTGTGGGCGCCCTGGGCCGTTTATCTGCTAAGTTCATGTGTTCACTCGAAAAAAAGAAACTTCTCGGATATCCGTTTCCACCGTAGTAGATCTCAAATAATACGGAGTTCTTCACTCAGTATTTCATTTGAACACATAACTCTAACCCAGTGGACTAAACATCTAACCAAATTACATTTGTGCTGTAGAGGGAAGCAACGCAGAAAGTGAGTGTATTGCTCAATTGATGAAGAACTAACTGAAAAAGGAATATATTTCTTTGCTCAATTTCTTCTTTTTTAAAAAATTAAACTAGTGCAACAAAATTGTGAGCTTATAAAACTTCATTTGTGTGTTTGGTTGTCTGTTTTCTACACTAATTACTTTATTATGAAAAATGCGCTTTTAAATCACTTTTAAACAAAAGTTCCTTAGGGCGGTAATTATAATTTGAGTGAATCAGTGTTTTTTATTGTCATTTCAATTCACTGTTCGGTGAAGTCTCCAATTAGTCATCCTTTTCTTGTGTGCTTTAACTAAATGTGTATATATATTCATTATTTCAATTCACAGAGTTGTAAATCAATCTGGTGAAACCGTCGAGTTATATTCATCTGTCGATTGTAAAGGCATTGTTGGCAATGATGGTCGTACATATATTTTGGATTTGTTGCGTACTTTCCCACCAGATTTAAACTATCTAGATAATGGTGATGATATACACCCGCAATTATCGCCTGAATTGACAAAATTGGGTTATCCCTATCGTCATCGGCATATGCTAGCGACATTAAGACAAGAATTGATTGAAGCATTTTTCGAGTAAGAGTTTTTAAAAATATTTTGTGAATTATTTTTTTAAAATTCATGCATAATTCCCATCCGAGTATCGAATAAAAAACAAGACGTGTGGAGTTTATCGAAGAGTCTGTTTTCAGTGGATTTACTTTTCCCCCTAACTGTACAGTCGCATGTATACACAGCTTTCTTCGTGTGAAAATGGCCAATAAGAAAAGGATGAATCATCCCAGGAACAACCGCTAATATTAATCAACACATATGAGAATTTAATTGGTGAGTGGTGACTAGCAGTGGAATCCAGGATGCGCATTTCGTCCTATTTGGGACTCGTCAGCTGGATGTACCTGCATTTCCCGGTGAGTGATGATGTACCCATCGGGGCTCGAACCCACTGCTAGTCACCATCCGTCAATTGAATTCTAATTAAATGCCCAGACATCGTTGAAGCATCTGCACAAGAAGCCGACATGTCGACCTGAGACACCGAGCACTTTAGTCCAATCAATTGACGGGAAAACCTAAAATTCAATTAAATACATAAGAGAAGTTGAATAAGGGTGACGAAATTACGCAATGGGGCTGAATAATTGATAAGTGAATTGTAATCAGGGTGCATATAGAAACAAAGTCAATTTTATGTTACGCAAGAGTTTGGGTAAATAAAATGAAATAAGTAAAACAGTTAGATTCAAAATAATAGAATCGGATGAAAGATTTTCTTTTATATGCACAACTGTGGTTTCTCCATATGGATAGCTAGAGTTTCAGCAGTGCAGAGGAGGCGAAAGTGGATCGTCTTAGGCAGGTTGCCTCTCACTTTGAACAAGTTTGTTCCGATAGAGTAGCCAATATCTATTGTCTAGAAGGTGTTCAGTTGTCACATTCCTTATTAACCCAGTACTGCCTTCTTGCAACCATGCGAGATAGTGTTCTTGAACCTTTTTTATACAGGATCCGCGTCGAACGACCAATATACCAGAACGGGTAAACTGATATATATATATATATATATATATATATATATATATATATATATATATATATATATATATATATATATATACATAAAAGTAGTCAGATGTGAAATCGTGTTTTTTGGGTTACTGCAAACCAGTGGGCGACTGGAGAGCACTACTCTCAAGGTTTCCGCGAAGGTCTTTAAATTCTCCTCTCCAGGATATCACTGAGTATTATCATCCACTTTTACTGACAGAAAATCTTATATAAATGCTATTGTGCAGCTAAACTCTTCTCTGAACTGTGTTAAGTTTTTATTTAAATTTTCCCTTATTTATACACACACACTTGTGTTACTAAGAGGAAGACATTTATACTGTTGTCTGCAAATGATAAACACGTGAATATGCAACATTTTATTGATAAATATGTATGCGCATGTATGTTACTACCATTAAATCGTTTGTTTAATTATTTATGCGAATGCAAACCGTTGTCTGCACTTCGTGTAAATCAGTTCAATTTAATCGCCAAATATCTCTCTATAAACCACTTGTTTATTTGATATGCGCAAGCTCTCTGCACTATATTGCAGTTAATCAATAAATAAATTTCAGTGTTGATAGAAGTCTAGCCTATGACGCTTAGTGTTGTCAGATATGCTTTTGAATCATTACCACGTAATCATGTTACACCGTGTTATTGTGTTAAAAACAGAAAGTCAACCGTGGATACTAATCACAAAAGTGTTACCTCGAAAGTTAACAAACATAAGAAAATCATAAAATGATTAAGACGGAAGAATTACTGCGTGGGTGGAAGAAGGTATGATCACTTGTCTGATTGTAGCTCATTGGCTTACAGACACACACACACACACAAATCTGAGCCAATAGGTCCATCTATTTCAGTTTGAGTACCTCAGTGATATCAAATAAACTATGTTCTAACCACTTGTTGACGTTGTATAAACCGTTGGGTATGATGTTCAATATTGAAAGATACCAAACTGGCTTGAAAACCCGCTGTCATTTATCATTAATCCGAGTTTTTCGCCTCCATTATTCTTTTCTCAAGTTATTTCCGCATTGTCTAACGTCTCTTGGGTTCCGAGTCTGTCTCTGTCTGGATTCAACATAGAACTTGGCACCGAAGTGCAGCAGTTCGAGTTGCCACGTTCCAAATAGCACACAGAGGTAGACAAGAAGATGAGTGAAGAGAATTAATAGAGTGGGACATAGGGAGGGTTTCAACAAGGTCATCCTTTTCAGCTGGCCACACGATTAAATATGTAGTTTCTCACCTCCTTCCCAAACGATATCCTCTGTGTCACCCTCGGACACACGCCTAACTCGTTTCCCATTCGCCTTTCACTCCAGAGCTCGCCTGACGCGCGATGTCACGTGATAGTCTTCTCACCGTGTGGCCTATCTATCTATCCATTTTCTTTGCCATGCTTATCAAGCCATGGGTTCCTGGTTGGTTCTTTTCTAGAGTTTATTGTTGCAAATTCTTTACGGTCGTTCGATCTTCAGTATGGAATCAGCGAAGGTTGGCAGTCGTGTTGATAAATGTCTCCAATGATCTATTGGAAATACTTTTCGTGACGCACGCGCTAAGTTCATGACTCATGTAGAAGAATTAAGCGACTTAACTTTGGTATTGAAAATGCGAATCTCGTTGTTCGTGGTGAGCGCAGAAAATTTCCATAACGATTTTGGGGTAATGAAGGTCTGTTTTGCCCTTCCGATCCTGACTGGCTGTGATATCTTCATCCCTTCTATCGGCTGTAGTTGAAACTATGGTGCCTAGATGAGTGAAAAAATAGATCTCTTTCAAATATATTCCTTCGATATGTATATACAACCTCTGATTGGTGCTCACTCGTCTCGTTTTTGTTTCCATTCAGAGTTTGAAAGTAGTTACTAGTTGAAAAATTGAGGTGAAAGCTATAGTTTGTGTGATTGTTTTCCACTCTGAGCAAGAGTTTATTCTTGTTTGTAAGTGGTAAAGTTGCCTTCATTTCTCTTCTAAAACTTACTTACTTACTTGAATCCATTTACTATGTGTTTTCGTTTCTTTTTCAAGCTACCGGTATGAAACATTTTTACGTTTAGCTGCTCGGGAGATACAAAAGGCTAAGTCATCTGTCGAAGTTGAAGGTGATGATCCGGTGAGATGTATTCATATTTATCGAACTGTGTTAAATATTATATCCCTATTGTTATTTTATACATAGTTTCAGAATTGCTACTCAGTTGTTTCGATCTCACCACATTGCCTCCCCTTTTTTCATACTGACAGCCAAAATCGATTGATATTTTTTTATATCGCCTCTCTTGTGTTCGGGAGTAAAAGACAAACTGCCTAATTTCGCCTCTTCCAGGTGTATCTACCAATTTAACTGCTCCTGTGGAGTGAGCCAGTTAGTTGCATAGGCCGTACAATTAGGCGTGTTTCTCTTCGAATTTCCGAACATCACCCTGCAGAGTGGTTAAGTAAAGGACAAACAAAATCTATTCGGAGCGCTATTCCATCTCATCTTGTGGATACAGAAAGGAAGATTGATGTTAACCATGCTTTCAGGGTCATTTACCACATACCTACGAATCTCAATTTTGCCTTAAGAGTTCGACTACTAAATAGTGCTGTAGCTGTTGGGATCCATATTAGCAAGCCTAATTTGTGCATCCAAAAGAAGTTAGTTCAGACATTATCATTACCTTGGCCATGTAGGTTTGAATGATCCTGAATTTTTGTGGAACTTTCCTTAATTTTAGTTGATATTCTATTTGCTATTATATCTTTATTATTATTATAATTTAAGCATCTTTAGTGAACTATAATTGCACTGATATTACTTTACAAATCGATATTATTTAAGAAACACTAATATTGTATTTGACTACTAATCTAGAATATTCTATGTATATAAACATACATATAATAATATAAACATATAATTGTAGAGCCAGAAGAGGAATTTATCGAAAAGGATATTCTTTGCTCAATTATTTTGTGTATTGGATGTCTGAATGAATATTTTTGCTATATTGATATTTTTTTATTGGCAATTTATAAGACCCTGAATTGTATTAGGGTTCATTATCAGACCTTTGTATTCTCCCCTGATTCACACACTTATTTGTGTCATGTACACATAATCAGCTGAAATCTTCAGCTATATCTTGAGGTGATTTGCAGGGATATAACTGGTTAAAGATTTGTTCATGACTGGGCATCAATTAGAGAACCATTGGGAAGCCTGAGAGTACTAGGCAGTTGTTTCGTCATCGTTCGGGACTCCTCATCAGTACGCACTCGCTAGGATTCAAACCCAGAACCTTCCAGTTTTATTGGGCGAGCTTCTGGACTATTCAACCATCGGAAGCTGACCCAATGGCTGGCCCGATTGACACAACCGTCAGCCAATGTATTAGGCGAGTAGCTCGTCTCTTACCTGATGTGATGGATCCCACTGATTTAGACTTATCACTGAAATTCCAGGCAATTCCCTGCATACAGCCAATCGCCAGTGAGTATCAGGTTAATTTTTAAGTGTTGGTTGTCGGGCTGTACACACGAGTTCCAATGAGAAGTTGTAACCACTGGGGTCCACTAAGTCAGGTGAGAAAAATTCATATATGATGGTTTCCCAGCTTAACTGTGCTTATAAAGAAAATTACTTGTATTTTTATTCATATATTTTTCAGACTGCTGTTGAAATACAAAATGGACAGTCGGCTTGTTCGAATACTGATGGTAATGATCAATTGCCTTCACATCATATTGGTTGTGAAGTATCCGATCACTCCAGTAATACTTTAAACTCAGGCATTTCTGCGATAAAATCACCAAACAAAAGTCAACCGGATGATTTAAGTTTAATGAAAAAATTGTTGGAAGAGGATCATGATACACTAAAAGGTAGGTAAATTTGTTTGTATTAATAATAATAATTCCAACTTGTCTTTCAGTTAATCTCTCCTGCCTTTGTGTTAAATAATTAATCACAAACAGAAAAAAAAAATATTTCACCAACTATGTATGTATGGTTGACTGATTGATTGTTGACGAAGTCTCTCAGCACTGATACAAAAAGCATCGTGTGGGATTTACCAATCTACGCCGAGGATGGTGTAGACATCAAGAAGTGACTATCCATCAAAGGATGTATGTACTGCGTGCACACCACTCCTCTCTTTCCTCCTTTACACGGTTGTGATGCATGACCGCTGAAAGTGGAAAATATGCAAATATCTATCTCCCATATTAGGTGGTTTCAATGGGGTGCGTAATACTGATGTTAGTCGTCGAAATTAAGTTGAGGAGGATAGTTTATTATTATTATTATTGTTCCCTTGGGTTCCTAGTGGAACATAGGGCTTCCACTGCACGTCTTTACTTGCTTCTGTCCTCTGCTGTACTTTTCACCTGCATCCATGTTAGTCCATACTGTTTCAACTCCTCTCCACACGATAAAGGTTGATAAAGGTCTGCAACAGGCTGTTGGAAATATTCTTTGTGACCCGCCTGCCAGGTTTCTGATCGGTTCCGTATAGAAGAACTGACTTAACGTTTGTATTAAAAATCCGACTGAATTTTATTGTTGATGCTGAGTGACGAAGATTTCCAGATTGGTTTCATGTTGATGAATGTGTTTCTCGCCTTCCCGATGATTCTCGATTTGACATCCTCGTCCGTTCCTCCTGTAGTTGAGACACTGCTCCCTAGATAAGTGAATGCAGGAACCTCTTTCAAATCCCTCCCGTTGATAGCGATTGGCGCTGGATGTTGTTGTTGTTTGTTGGTTATTTTCATAACCTCCATTTTGTCTATGTTCACCTGGACTCCTGTCTTCTTCGATCAGTTTGTCGGTTTTCAATTATGTGTGACATCAAACATAAATCATCCACGCGCGAAATCCAGGTCTTCTAGGTTCTTCACTTCTGTCCAAGATATCCCTGTCTTCTCGTTTCCCATTGTCTGACGCATAATCCAGTTCACCACAATTAGGAATATCATTGGTTATAATAAGCACCCTTGTGTGACTCTTGTGTTTATTCCAAACACCTTGCTGAGTTTTCTGTTGTGGATGACTTGGCATGTGCCGTTGTCGTACAGCTGTTGAATAAGGTTGATGAATATTTGGGGTACGCCATAGTACTCGAGTAATTTCCAAATTACTTCACGGTCAACGCTATCGAAGGCCTTCTCAAAGTCTATAAAGTTGAGGTGGAGGTTTGATTGCCATTCCATGCTTTGTTCGATGATGATGCGTAGAGTTGCAATTTGATCAGAACATGATTTGCCTTTCTTGAATCCAGCTTGTTCTGGTCGGAGTTCTGTATCCAGTGCGTCCTTTATTCTCTCCAGGATGATGCGACTTGGGATTTTACTTGGCGTCGACAGGAGCATGTTTCCTCGCCAGTTCTTGCAGAGTCCTAGGCCTCCCTTCTTTGGTAGTTTCATGAGGTAACCTTTCCTCCAGTCAGTAGGTACCTTTCCCTCCTTCCAAACCTTTTGCAATAATGGAATCAGCATGTCTGCTGTCGTCTCTGGGTATGCTTTCAGTGCTTCAGGGGGCATTTCATCTGGTCCAGCTGGTTCTTTCCGCTTTCAGAAGCTTGATTGCATTGAAGACTTCAGCTCTCGTTGGATGATTGGTGTCAACTTGCAGTTGTATACGTGCTGTCGTTGGTATTTCTGGACGGGTTGCAAATAGTGGTCGGTTCACAAGTCCTTTGAAACGAAGGATAGTTTAATAGATGAAGGTGAATCGATTGAGATGTCTTGGGAATGTGTCACACAAACCTAACCATTGCCTCCCTTAAGGGGAAATATTAGCGGACATAGAGATGATCAGGTTGGAAAAGAGGTAGTGGAATCAGTACAGTTAGTTTGAGCCAGTCACTTAGAGAGGTGTAGATTTCCTGGTTGAGATCCTTGGGATGGTGAGAACCAATAGGCGGAGTCAATTGGTGATAAGGCTTAAAGTTGTTGTCACTGGCTGAGATACATTCACTCTTTGTGATCCCCCATATCCACTAAACTCTATTCACATTCTCCAGTTCATTTCTGCATATTATTATTCTTTTGAATCTCCTTTGTTCTGTCTTTTGTCTTCGTTTGTGTGATAAAGAGTGTTGCTACTCAAACTGCTGTCAATTAGTCAGTTACTAACTGTGAAGTCTAAGAGTATATGAGGTACACTACATCCCTGCACAGAATTTTCGTTTTGTTTTTTGACAATTGAGAAATAGTCGCGCTCTATGTTGGCTTGACAGAAGTTAGAATTCATGGAGTGGCCGTTGGATCGGATCCCAGTGGTTCAATGGTCTACGAGCTCGCTGACCTTGTAACCAGAAGATCCCGGGTCCGAACCCAGTTGGGATGGGTGTATATTGCTGTAGAGTTCTAGGTTGACGGAACAGCTGTCCAGTACTCCCAAGTGGTTTTTCAATGATTCTCTAACTGATGTCAGCTCATGATGAAATCCCCTATCCAATCAAACAAAATCCCTACAGAACCAATTAGAAGAAATTAGAAGAAAGACGAATTGAACAGAAAAAATATTACTTCCTCTAATTAGCTTCTTATTATTATTCTACCTACAGTTAGTGTGTGGATTTTGCATGAAGTCATCGATAAGTTCTTCCTGAATCTCTACAGTTATAAATTCATAAATATTATAATACAAATAGCCACTCAGAACCTGTGAAAATCATATTAGAAGATGTATTCGGGTACATGTATAATATGGAGTGATATTTCGCTTCAAATTATCTTGTTTTGATTACACTATGACGACTTAATTGGTGGGTGATGACTAGCAGTGAAATCCAGGCTAACGCGCATTTCGTCCTATTGTGGGACTCGTCATCTGGGTGTACGTGCATTCCCCAGTGAGTGATGATGTTCCTGCTTAGGCTCGAACCCAGTTCCCATAGCTTCAAACGCCAAATTGTTGTCGTTATCAACCAGAGACCGAGCACTTCAGTCCAATTGATCGACGGGAAAATCTAAAATTCAATTCAATAACACCCTGGGGATTTTTAATTTACATGAAGTATCAAGTTAGTGATATAAGAATAAAACTTGGGCACTGTGGTAGAGTATCAAATCAGAATTTTAGTCATAACAAGTTGCATACCTGGGATATAATGTTGGCTAACAAGTACAAGACGTAAATCTAGATCCCATTGTAATCTCGTGTCAGGTAGCCAACCAAGTGATCAACACAACACTCGTGATCAGTTTGAAGTCTACAGTGTGTCTACAGACATTACACACTTCGATTTGACTGTTTTGCTTTTTTACTCACTTTGCTGTATTTATACTATTGCTTTGTGAATAATTTTAACCAAGAAATTATGATATATTAATAAATTCGTCTTTTTTCTATACTCATGTAGGTGATATTATCCACGAAGCGATTCGTAAGGCGGCTGTTGCTGTCGGTTCCTTGAGTACAGATCGTTTTGAGTTAGCATTTAATCCTGATATTTATCAAAAATTCGTCAAGTTTAGTGATTCAGAGGTGAGTGTTTTTTAGTCAGATTGTAAGATTTCATATGCCATCCTAGTTTTAGCCTTACTTGTCTAAAACTATTCATAATGGAGTTACCGTCTGTCTGTCTGGATTCAACATAGAACTTGGCACCGAAGTGCAGCAGTTCGAGTTGCCACGTTCCAAATAGCACACAAAAGTAGACAAGAAGATGAGTGAAGTGAATCAATCAACCGTACATATCAAGAGTGGAGGATATTTTGCCGATTAATGCAGCCGAATAGTACAAATTGTATGACTAGTAATCATATCTTCTGGATTCATTTAAATTGAAACTTATGTCTTTATTTGTAAACAGTCATTGAGGATTGGTCAGTGGTAGTCGGAATTAGGTTAGTTATTCAGTTAGTGTAGTCCGTCGGTGGCATATCGGTTAGGACGCTCGCCCACCATGCACATGGTCCGGGATTCTATCCCTGGCCGACGCACTCCTTTACCTCGCTAAGCCAGAAATATTGCTGGTAAAGAGGAAAGGTTGGGCATGAGGCTAGCAGCCCCATCCTGTGAAATAAACACTGCTACAGAAACTTGAAGCCACTAGCTTGAAGCCCTATGTTCCACTGGGGAACGTGAAGGAAAAAAGAAAAAAATTCAGTTAGTGTTAATTCACTGAAAATAATGTTCAATCTCTAGTTGAGACTGGAGTAAGGACGCCCAGTTAGACACGCTGACCACGAATATCGCTTGACTATGCGAACAACATTATACAACAATTACCTCTTTCTCTCCCTTTCCAAGGCTTCTCTACTTAAGCGAGAACGCGCAGCGACGTAAGCCGAACAGCATATTTCAGTATCAGCCACAGTATATTTTGTTTGCAATAAATCACCAAGGAAATGTCAATTAGTCCATAAGCATGACCAGTAAAATAATGGACGTTACTTTAAGTAGGCCGATTCCGATTAGTTTATTTCCAGACTAATCTTGATTATCATATCATTAATCAAGGATAATACACTGTTTATCTACGTACATATCACCACCCCCCTTAGAAGGGACCTAGGATCGCACCGTTTATTTTCTGCACCTGGCTGACTGACATCAAGAGAAAGTGTCCTGTCGTTTAATAGAAAGACCGGAGCATTTGTGACCTCCTCATTAAAGTGTGAGAAGCTGTGGCACTCTTGAGAACAACTTGTTGTGTGGGACAGGAGAGTGGCGCCAACCTGTTGTAGTAATGCGACACATGGTTCAGGTCTCTTTGTTTGGGAAACAGGTCTTTCACCCTTTAGGCAGAGGGTCGTAGAGTCCGAACATTGGTGAACTTTTTCTTAGGGGTGCTGATTGAGAACAGTGTTTGTGGAGATTTTTCGAGGATGGCCATTGTGTATGCTGTTGTGTCCAACATTATTGTGGTCTTGACACCTGTGCGGCTTATACGGATAAGATTTGTCGAAATGTCAAGCATCTTAATGTCAGAATGATGATGGAGGTGTCATCTTTGGGCGTCGATTGGTATTGCTTGAGTTACTAGGACGATGGACGTTTGAGGTGGGGTCAGGGAGTGTGAGATTTTAAAAGGTTTGGCCAACTTCATTAGCTTCAGGACCGTCCTACCGTCTAGATAGGACTAAGCTGGTTATTATCATGTTATAACATAACATACTGAGTACACTTCTGAACGTGTTCAAATGTCCACGCTGTCGCTGAAACCTGTTATTATGCATTTAGTGGATCTTTCGTCGTTTATTGTTTATACATTTTCGACCATTAAGTATGAGTAATTTATTGAAATGTTATTTCTGTAGTATAACTTTTAATTGAGCGATTAACTTATCCAACGTTTCATCACATGTTATTTGTAGGAAACATCTTTAAAAGTGGACCAGGAATTAGTATGTAGTGCCTGTGAGTTTTTGGTTCTGAAACAAATTCCAGCGTTTGTTCGAGACGCCTTGAGTTTGTGTGTAACCCCGCAAGACGGTAAAGCTCTAACAGAATCAATGCATCAACGGTAAGTTGTCAGTTGTTTTTATGTTTGCTAGCCTTCTGTCTAATGAAGTTTTTATGATGGCTGCTGTGATTTTATGTGTAGTATTTTATGTTAAGTTGCCAAATAATAGTTAGTTGTTTTAAAATCTTGGGCGTTTTTAGACAGTTGTTTCTGTTCTTAAACAACCACCCTACGTGACGTTACTAGAGAATTTTATTTCAAGATTAGTGTATATATGAAAATTTTGCATTTGAGTCGATAATCGGGCGTTAACATCTACCATTGTGTCTTAGCTCAACAATAAGAGATATCGTCGTATTCGTGATCTATTCGGAGAACGACATTATTCAGATCAGCGGAATTGCCCTTTATTTCCCTTTTATCAACATTTTTGTGACATGTGACAGTGTATTCATTATTTCGCGTGAAATATATATGATTTGGTAATTTGCTTTACACAACAAAATTTCACTGTCAATCGTGGACAGTCGAATGATTTACATCACGTTGATGAATTTTCGCTTAATGATAGGATCTTAACATCATAGTGGTTATAGTACCAGTATACTGTCACTAGTTTGTCAAAAGTCAATTATTCGGAGTGGATTTTTCATCCTCCAGGCTATTATTTTATTAGAATTATTGTTCCCTTGAGTTCCAAGTGGCGGGGTGTATAGGGTTTCAACGGAACATCTCCACTTTGTCCCATTCTCTGCGGTCCTCTTTACCTGGCTCCATGGTTGCCCGTAAGCTCTCATCTCCTCCTCACGGGATCACTTCCATGCCCCCCCCCACGGACGCTCAATTCGTCGTTTCTCACTCGGGTTCCAATCGAGTGATGGCCTGGTGTGCGATGTCTTTCGATGGTTTTTTCAGTCTATCCCCGATCTATCTCCATTTCCTTTGGCATACTTATTGAGCAATATGTTATTGATTGGGTTGGCTCCCAGTGTTTCTTGTTGCTAATTTACTTCTGGTCAACCATCTGGCCTTCAACATGGAGCCAAGTAATGCAGTTATTGGTATAAGTCTGCAGTGGCATGTTTGAAATGGTTTTCGTGACGCGTCAGCCATATAGACACCTGTATCGAAGATCTGATTGACTTAACATTGGTGTTGAGAATGCAAGTTTTGTTGTTTATGCTGAGTGCAATGCAGAAAATTTTCAGAGTGACGAATATCAGTCTTGCCTTTCTGAACCTGGCTGGTTTTGAAATCCTCACCCGTGCCGTTTGCATGTAGTTGAAAGGATGGTATCTGGAGAAGTGACGGAAGTAACTTATTACAAATTTCTTCCGTTGACAGTGATTAGTACTTGTTTGTTGGTGAGTTGTTCGTCTTTATCACTTTTCTCTATGTTCACTTTAAGTCCTCTTTCTACTGTTTATTTTGCCAACTTGTTGGTTTCCGCCTGTAAGTCTTCGAGTTTGTGTGGCACTTAACCCCCCTATTTGTAAACTAGGAGTCAGTTTAGTCCAGTCCTGTAACATCATCTTGCATTTGGCGGGAGCTTATTGCATGCCAAACATTCGTAGATTGCAGTTCAATGTGTTCAGAAGACTGCATTTTGTCAGCGTCCTCGCCTAGAAGGACTATATCGTCTGCATAATCTAAGTCCACGAGATTATTGCCCGGTAGCAAGTCAATCCCTGAGTCTCTGAAATTAGTTGGGGTTAAATCCATTAATACATCTATGATGAAATTGAATAGAAATGGGGATAATGGGCATCCCTGACGGACACCACTCGTCATCACCACTTCAGATGACAACTTGCCGTAAGCCCTCACCTGGGTGCATGAATTCGAGTAGAGTGCCTTGACCAGTGCAATGTATTTTTTTGTTTGGAGTGTTTGGTATGCAAAAGCCTTCGGTAATTTATTGGATACCCGACAGACATTCATTACTAGCTTTGTGGCCTGTTCAGGAGAGGTGATCCAATGTGGAACTGTTGACGGTTTTAACAACACCTTTATTTAACTACAATGGGAAGTGTTCTCAAACAGAAAAAAAGCAACACAATTTCCTAGAGCAAGGCCGATGTAACTGGTTTTATAGGAGCTGTTGAATTATATTATTATTATTATTATTGTATCCTTTAGTTCCTAGAGGAACATAGGGCTTCAGCTGCGCACCTCCATTGACTTCGGTTTTCTGACAACTTTTTCACCCTGCTCCAGGTCTGTCCACATGCTTTCATCTCCTCCTCGCATGACCTCCTCCAAGTCACCCTTGGACGACCAACTCGCCGCCTCCCTTTCGGGTTCCACTCGAGGGCTTGTCTAGTGATGTCACTTGATGGTTTCCTCAGCGTATGGCCAATCCATCTCCATTTCTTTCTGCCTATTTGTTTCACAATCGGTTCCTGATTGGTTCGCTCCCAGAGATCCCTGTTGCTGATCTTTTCTGGCCATCTGATCTTGAGTATTGAGCGGAGACAGTTGTTAATGAAGGTTTGAAGTTTGTTTGAGATGCTCTTTATGACTCGCCAAGTCTCTGATCCGTATAGTAGCACTGACTTCACATTGGAGTTGAAAATCCGGATCTTATTTTTGATGCTGATTGCTGTTGACCTCCACACAGATTTGAGAGTAATGAAAGCTTGTCTTGCTTTTCCGATTCTGGCTTTGATGTCCTCGTCAGTTCCGCCTGTAGTTGAGACGATGCTTCCCAGGTAGGTGAAGGAGGTTGTTTCTTTCAGGTTCTTCCCATTTATGCTTATTGTGGTCTGTTGTTGTTGTTGATGTTGGCTAGGAATCTTCATCATCTCTGTTTTATCTATGTTCACGTGAAGTCCTATCTTTGATGCTTCTTCTGCCAACTTGTTACTTTTCACTTGCATATCTTCCAGTTTATGGGAAATCAGACATATATCATCGGCGAAATCCAGATCCTCCAAGTCTTTTGTGTCAGTCCATTTTATGCCTGTTCCCTCGTTGGTTGCCGTTGTCTGTCGCATTATCCAATCAATTGCAATCAGGAAGATCATTGGTGATAGTAGACAGCCTTGCCTCACTCCCGTCCTCACTTCGAAGGCTTCCGTAAGTTTCCCGTTGTGGATTACTTGGCATGCAGCATTGTCGTATAACTGTTGGATGAGGTGTATAATTGTCGATGGGACCCCGTAGTAGCGAAGTAGTTTCCAAATGACCTCTCGATCGACGCTGTCGAAGGCCTTTTCAAAGTCGATGAAGTTGAGATAGAGAGGTGACTGCCATTCCAAGCTTTGTTCAATGATGATCCGTAGAGTGGCGATTTGATCAATACATGATTTGTTTCTCCTGAATCCAGCCTGTTCCGGACGAAGTTTTTCATCTAGGGCTTGTTTGATTCTCTCCAGGATGATGCGACTTAGTATCTTGCTTGGAATGGACAGAAGCATAATTCCACGCCAGTTTTTACATTGACTTAAGTCTCCTTTCTTTGGAAGTTTGAATAAGTAACTGTTCTTCCAATCCTCGGGTACTTTGCCCTCTTTCCACACCTTCTCCAGTAGTGGTGTCATCAAGTCCGCTGTTGTCTCTGGGTCTATTTTCAAAGCCTCTGCTGGGATTCCATCTGGTCCCGGTGTTTTCCCAGTTTTAAGCATCTTGATTGCATTCAGGACTTCTGATTTCGTCGGGGGGTCAGTGTTCACTGGTAGTTCTGCTTCCGTTGTTGGTATTGCTGGACGTGTTGTAGGTGGCGGACGATTTAGAAGTCTTTTGAAGTGTTCAACCCAGTGCTTTCTCTGTTCCACCTCTTTGGTGATTGACTTTCCATTGTCGTCCTTTATTGGCTTAATCTGTGTCGAACGTTTGCCCGAAAGGTTCCTAGTTGTTTGGTAGAGTGTGGCGAGGTCTCCTTTGCCTGCAGCTTGTTCTGCTTCGTTTGCCATGGTTTCATAATATTTTCTTTTGTCTTCCCTGGCACTTTTCTTCACTCTTTTGTTCAGTGTATTGTAGCTTGCATTCAGCTCCTGTTTTTGTTGCTCGTCAGTGCACTGGATAATCTTTTGCTTCACTGTCCTTCTCTCTTCTATTAGTTTCCAAGTGTCCGTAGTGAGCCACTGTTTGTCCTGTCTCTTTTTTCTGCCTAGAATTTCTATGCAGGTTTGGCTCCACACCGTTTTCAAGTTGTTCCAGTGCTTTTCAACGCCGACCTTTTCGCTAGTGTTGATTTGTGTCTCGGCTTTGTCCTTTATGCTTGCAATGAAGATGTCCTTTGTAGCCTGGTCCTTCAGCTTTTGAGTGTTGAACTTGGCTTGTGGTCTATCTGCAGCTCCTGATTCCCTGAAAGCTTTTAATTTGATTTGGATTGTCCCTTGTACGAGATAGTGGTCTGAGCCAACGTCTGCTCCTCTTCTTGCTTTTGTGTCCAGTAGGCTGCGCCTCCACTTCCTTGAGATTGAGATGAAGTCGATTTGGTTTTTGGTTTGCCCGTCTGGTGACACCCATGTAGCCTTGTGGATATCTTTGTGCTTGTATACACTGCCACCAATCACCAGTTCGTTGAAGGCGCAGAAGTCGGCGAAGAGTTCTCCGTTTTCATTCATTTCTCCTAGAGCTTCTCTACCCATGATGAGTTCCCTTCCCGTATTGTCTGGTCCCAGTTTGGCGTTCATGTCTCCCATTAGTATTTTCATGTCGCCAGCTGGAGTATTGTCCATTGTTGCCTGTAGTTGCCTGTAGAATTCTTCTTTCTTCTCGAGGTCTGCGTTGTTTGTGGGTGCATAACATTGTATGATTGACACTTTCCTTCCTTTGGAGTTGAACCTGGCGGTCATTATCCTGGACGAAATCGCCTCCCATTGTATCAGGGCTTTCGTTGCCGTTGGTGACATCATGATAGCCACGCCCTCGGTGTGCGTGTGGTTATCTTCTGGGTGACCGGAGTAGATCACTGACTCACCTGTTGACAATTTGGTGAGTCCACTCCCATTCCATCTGCTCTCACATATTCCCAGCACTTGTATTCCGTATCTTTTCATCTCGTTGGCGATCTGGGCAGCTTTCCCAGTCTCGTACATAGTTCGGACGTTCCATGTTCCTACACAGACTTTTTCTTTTGGTGCAAGGAGGTTCATCATACTGAAGTTTCTTTAGCAATTTTTGTTTACAGGGTGGGGTTGCTAGCCTCACGCCTGAGAAAAGAATGATTACATTAAGTAAAAGTTTAGAGAGAAGCAACTTTTTGGGTTGCTCCCCTCAAAATCAGAAAATAACGGACAAACAATGAGAACAACATCAACAAAGGAAACAGTTCACAGAAAAAAGGGCAAAAAGCGACGACAACTATACAATAAGACAACATGCAATATAGTTCAGTACAGTTAACTAAAATGATATCTTAACCATAAACTCACTGACTTGGAGCAACTTGAACATATAAATCCAACAATATATACAATTATAGATGTGTTTATGTTTAAAAATTCCACAAATCCAAACAGTGAGTTATGTGTATTATCTGTCAATAAGATTGTATTTTTTGGATTCAGTGTTCGAAAGGTTAATAATTGTGATAATTTCCGCAAACTCTTTGCATAAAATTTTACAGTAATAAGACTTTTTATTAATGAGCAAAATGTAGCGTAATAGTCGAAAAGCGCGCGCGTCTTATTTTTCCAGCTGTTGAATTAATCGATACAATTAGAAGTGGCTAGCCTAGCCCTACCCTAATGTTTCAGTTTCAAAATCACAGTAGGTTGTTTGGTAAATGTGACCTGCGGCTTCACGGCATTAAACTTTGTATCAATTTTCTCAACTCGTTGGTTATTATTTCACTTGGTATATCACCTTTGAATTGTACCCATATATGTATATAATGACTTCTTATTAACAAATGCAGTAGAATTCTTTCCTACTCTCCTGATCATGTGTGTGTGTTTATTGATGAAATAATTATTTAGAGGGTAGCTGTTTTCAGTTAATATGTTGTATATAACTTGAAGTTTATCTTCAATGGCATCTGGAAAAAAAATAGTTCGCACCCTAAAGCTGTGGATCCTTCACTCAATTCCTATCATATCGGAAAGGAATAAAGCTGTGAAATTGTGTATATTCACCGGTTGAAATACTTTTCATATGCTAATTCCTTCTTATGCTGCAATCTGGTCTTGTTAGTAGGACGTTTAGAAAAGCAATTTTTTATCTTAAGATTCTTCTTCACACGTGAAGTTGACAGCTGAATGTACTTCATTGAATTCGGATATATATTTCTGCGTTCATGTCGGTATCATTTTTTTTTTACAAAGGATGGATGTGTCATCCATATGCCGGCAACACAAAAAAGAATTTTCTGATAAGGTTTTTCTTTTGATGACTATTTTCTAGTTTACATGGAGAGAAATCCGCTAACACGGCCCCAATGGGATAGGCTATAGCCGCCACTCCATTCCGCTTTTCTGCAGAGAGTTCACCATCAAATGAAAAGTTCACATTCATGATTTTTAAAGATTTCCACAACTTCTGATTTCTTTGTTCACACAAATAATTAACTATTTCAGTGAGAGGGGGGTACATTTGTGAATAGAGATATTGCATCCAAAGATATCATAGTCGTTGGATTACATGGAGGATTTCATCATGAGCTGACATCAGTTAGAGAACCATTAGAAAACCACTTGGAAGTTCTGGATAGCTCTTTCGTTAGCCTAGTTTAGGACTCTTCATCAGTACACAACCACCCCAACTGGGTTCGAACCCAAGACCTGGTTACTACAAGGTCAGCGAGGTCGTAGATCATTCAGCCACTGGGATCCGATCCAATGGCCGCTCCATGAATTCTAACTTCTGTCAATTCACGACATAGCTCGACCGTTCCACAATGTCTTCTTCGAGGAGTTACTGCCTCATATTCAACCTGCTGTACCCTACTGGTCACGGCTTCCCGCTGAAACCCCAGATTAACTGCCTGAATAGGGCCAGTCGCTAGTGAGCATCAGAATAATTTTCAAGTATTCGTTTTGTAGGAATTTTTGCTTGATTGCATGGAGGATTTCATCGTGAGCCGATATCATTTAGAGAACTACTGGAAAACCTGGGAGTACTGGAGGTTAAAGATGAGACAGTAACTCATCGAAGAAGACATTGCGAAATGGTCGCGCTATGTCGTGGAATGGGCAGAAGTTTGAATCCATGGAGTGGTTATTGGATCGGGTCTCAGTGGCTCAATTGGTCTACGAGCTCCCTGACCTTGTAACCAGAAGATCCTGAGTTCGAACCTAGTTAGGGTGGGTGTATATTGTTGAAGAGTCCCAAACTAGGCTGACGGAACAGCTGTCCAGTACTCGCGAGTGGTTTCCCAGCGGTTCTCTAACTGACGTCAGCTCATGATGAAATCCTTCATGCAATCAAACAAAAATCCCCCTACAAAAAGAACCAGTACTTGAATATCATAATTGTATCTTTGATGTTTAATATCTTTAATTCTGTCTGTGAATTCATATACGCCTTTCAAGCTATATTTTGCATTTCGTTGACGTTTTTAATGCAATTTTATTTAATTTAAAAAAATATTTTTTTTTACAGTGGTATCAATATGCGTTATTTGAATCGTGTGATTGAATCCGTCAGTCCACATCCATCATTAGGTTACCTTAAGGTGAGCGTCTTTTCAAAAAAAAAATTACGAGATATTTTTTCTTATCTATTTTATTGCTTACAAAATAAACAAACGTCTAAATTTAACCTTAATTGTTGCTTAAAAAGCCAAGTTGAAGGGAGTTAAATAGTCTAATTCTAAAACGATTACTAGCAAATAAATATGTTGGTTTTTTTGTTTTCCGTTATTTTAAAAGTTTTATACTTCCCAATAATTGAAAAAACAAAAGAAAACATATGGAGTGTGAAAAGTTGAACCAGTGCACTTCGGTACACAGTTCTGTGTTATGAAACCAGTCAGTCAGATGTACTAAAACCATGTGAAACAGAGGTGTATAGCGCCATTATCGTCCCCATCTTTAAAAAGGGTCGACGTAATTCGTGTGACAATCATAGGGGTATCAGTCTGTTACCAGTCGCGTCTAAAATATTGGTCGCTGTCTTGCTTCGCAGACTGTGCAAAATACGTGAAGGATTGACTCGCGAAGAGCAGGCTGGGTTTCGTTCAGGTCGTGGATGCATTAATCATGTGTTCACCCTTCGTCAGTTGTTGGAACACCGCCACACGTATTGCAGGCCAACGATCGTTGTGTTTCTTGATATTAGGGCTGCCTTCAATTCGTTGGACAGAACTGTGCTCTGGAACTGTCTGTTAGAGAGAGGTGTACCTGAGAAATTTGTTAACATCCTGAAAGCCCTATACAGAAACACCTCAGTTAGAGTGAGGGCATACAACCAACTATCACCACTGTTCCCAACCAACAGTGGGGTTAGACAGGGTTGCCCAATCTCTCCATTTCTCTTTAACTTTGCCATCGATGACATTCTGGAGTCAGCTCTGAAGGATGTGCGTGAAGATGGTGTAGATCTGCTACCTGGAGATAGACTTTTCGACCTCGAGTATGCAGACGATATCGTCTTACTGTGCGATAGCATGCAGGCTGCCCAAATCGCACTTAATCAGTTGGCGATCAGTGTCTGTAAGTATGGTATGTGCTTTGCGCCGTCTAAGTGCAAAGTACTGTTACAAGATTGGCAGGAGCCTGTACCTGCACTCACTCTTGCGGGTGAACCGCTTGAAGCTGTTGATAAGTTTGTGTACCTGGGTAATTGTGTGAGTGCTGGCGGAGGGGTGACGGATGAGATTTCCAACCGTATAATGAAGGCTATGGTGGCATACATCAACTTGAGCCACCTATGGCGCCGTCGCGACGTTAGCCTGGCTGTCAAAGGTTGGGTATACAATGCTTCGGTGCGGGCTGCGCTGCTCTACGCCTGTGAAACCTGGCCTCTCCGAGCTGAGGATGTATGGCGACTCTGCGTGTTCGATCACCGCTGTCTCCGCAGGATTGCTTGCGTTCGATGGCATCATCGCGTGAGTAATTCTGAGGTTCGGCGGCGTGTTTTTGAACACAGTGGAGATCACCATTCATTGAATGTCGTCATCTGGAAACACCGGCTCCGGTGGCTTGGACATTTGCTGCGAATGTCATCCCAGAGGCTTCCGTACAGGTCTCTGTTCGCTAGCCCTGGGACGGGATGGAAAAGGCGGAGGGGTGGTCAGTCCATGACGTGGCGTCGTGGGATGAAGGATGTTTGTGCTAGATTAGCATCGGTCGGTGTGTCACGACTCCCTGGTTGGGGTCCGAGAGATAGCTCAAATCGATGGCTCGAAACGTTATCGGATATGGCCAAGAATCGTAATCAGTGGCGAATGTGTTGCGATTTCCTTCTTTCTTCCCTTCCCGATGATAGCTAACGAACACTGTTTGAACTTGTTAAGCATGACTGTTTTCCTTCCAGATGAAGTTCTTTATCCGTTCTCTACTTATATATATTTTTTCTTTTCCTTCCTTCCTTTTTTTGATCTATGTTGTTTTATTATTATTGTGTGGCGCATCTTTCTTGGTGCCATATTGTACCAAGTTTTTTATGCGTTTAAATAAATAAATAAATAAACCTAATCTTACTACTGGCTTAGCGAGGCGACGGAGCGCGTCGGCCGGTGATCGAACTCCGGACCATGTGCATGTGTTCAATATCAACTGTGAAAAACACTATATTGGTCAAATTCAAAAATATAAGTGTTACCTATGAAAAGACACGACATGTATTTCTTCATGTCGATCTATATAGACACCAAATAGTAGGCCATCTTTTGTCTAATAATATATGTGTAAAACTTGGGCACTGTGGTAGTAAGTAATTCCATATTAATTTGTTTATTAGATGTATCACACAGTTAGTGAAATAGTATTATTTACTGGATGACGTTTCGAACAAAATTTATTACTGTTCATAATCATATCAATTGTAATCACACGACTTTGAAACTTGGATTTTATGGTTTTCTTTGTCTTCTCCTACTTGTCGTCGTTAGGATAGTAGAATTTTCCAGATATCAGGGACAGGTGATGAGTCATTCCTATTACACGTGTTTGCAGTTGATTCGATAAACAAAGCTTCTGTTATCAATCTCCCTCCACTCACCCCGTTACATTAGATTTTAAAACTGTCATCCTATCCCATCCAGCCTATTGTATGATTGTGTTTAATTGCATGTAATGCTATGGCTGACCTATTCTCTAGATTTCTTATCTTATTTGGGTCAACTAATCTAGATTTTGCTAGGTTTTTATGTTCGGCTAGTCTGACTGTCCCTGTTCTACTACTATGACCTATGAATTTGACCTGACAATCATCGCAGGCAAAGTATTAGATAAACTGAATTATTTTGTTTGAAAGGCTCCACAGGATTAGTCCTTTAACCGACAAAGCTTGTTTCTAATTGAGTTTGTGGGTTCGAATGCCACTTTTATTCCTGCCTTGTTAAGAATTCTGCGTAAGGTGGTTTCCAAGGTTTCTTCCTTGTATGGGAATACTACTGATGATTTAGATTCCTTATTGTTGGTGTCGTCATTAATATTAATATTATTATTATTATTATTACTATTATTATTATCATCATTATTAGTGTTATTGTTATTATTATTATTATTATAATCACTATCGCTACTATCATTATTTATTTTATTTTTACATTTACTTACATATTTCTTGACTAATTTATCCGGGTAATTATTAAGTTTCAAGACTTCTTTTATGTGTTTCACTTCCTGTCTTAGATTTTCCTTGGTACTACTTAGTTTTTGTGCTCTGTCATTTAAACATTTCACCAATCCTATTTTTAATGACATAGGATGGGATGATCGGAAATCCAAATATCTGTTCGAATGTGCAGGTTTTCTGTAAACACTAGTGTTTAACTTCCCATCTTCTTTCCTTTTTACCTTGCAATCTAACATTGGAAGTTCCCCTTCCTGACTTTCTAATTCATAAGTGAATTGAATTGTCTCCACCTTCGAGTTGATTTGTTCGAAAAATCTATTTATATCTTGTCTTCTAACTACAGTGAATGTGTCATCTACATACATGTAAGTAAATGTAAAATGAAATAAATAATGATAGTAGCGATAGTGACAATAATAATAGTAGCACTAAGGATGATAATAATAGTAATAATAATAATACTACTAATGAAATACATGCTGAAAATTCCATACTTGTACCAAAAATACGGTGTGGAGTCAAGCTGTAATCAAAAATAAATAAATAAATAATATTGATGACGACACCAACAATAAGGAATCTAAATCATCGGTAGTAATCTCATACAAGGAAGAAACCTAGGAAACCTATCGAGATGGTTAGGACGTGGCGTTGTTACGCATTCATGTCTAGGTATCACCTTGCTCAACCAACGAGCAATGCTAGCTGACATAAGATCATTCAGGTTGAAAAGAGCTGCTAGTGGTAGTCAAACGGAAAGATGGCTTCATCAGTCAATGAAATCCACAACAGTTAGTTTAAGCCAATCACGTGATGAGTTGTAGAGTACTTTGCTGGTTGGGGCCCTCGAGATGGTGAAAACCAATGGCGATTGGAGACAATTGAAGATATTGAAAGCAATTAGTTCCCTTTATGAATTACTACCATAAATTACTATAGTTTCTGTTCACCACAGTATATGACAAGTGTATGACAAGTACGTGTGTTATCAGAATGTACGAAATGTGTTGCGCCAATACATTACACGTTTCAGATAAACTACGTCTTCTTATTGTGTTGTCGAAATTAAAGATATGGCTCAAACTCATCGTTTTCAATGGCGGACGCAGATACATCCACTATTTGTGATATATCATATCCAATAAAATTCTATTGTTCCTGTATATTACTTTTCTTTTTGCATCATATTTCTGTTTATTATCTCTCTCTCTCTATGTTGAAATCAGTCAGTCAGATTCATGTTTCTTGAATTAGTTTAAATGGCACACAATCCGTATTTGTCTAATATTAGTAAAAAAGTGACCCTGTTGTTTCGCTTCATCAATAGTCAGTTTAACTTAAACGTTAATCCGATATTGTTATTTGCTGACGATTGCCTCTCATGTCTATAAAATAAACAGACATTGTGATGTTTTTTCAAGTTCATGACAATTAGGTGTGCATACGTGAAGCAGTGCATAACTCATGATTCATTTCATATATTTATTTATTTATCAAGGTCATTTTAAGTTAGATAATAACTTACTTTGTAGTTAGGTGGTCAGAGGCAATCTTGCAGGAAGTCTTGTTTAACCTAGGTTTCCTGCATGTTGGCACTCATCACTCAGTAAGGCGTGGAGGAAGGAATTTGTATCCCATCTGAGATTCGAACTCAGGTCCGCCAGTGGTGCAGTCAAAGACTTTACTACTCTGAGCTGATCAAATTCACGAGTGTTGTAGATTGCAGATACACACCTTGCTGACTAACTAGTGAGTGACAACAAGCACTAAACCCAGGTAAAGAAAGACTTCCTCTCGATTGCCTACAACTATCTAATGACACGAATTCAGAGTACACCGTGATGGCAAGCCACCTGGCCACATTACAAATTTGACTGACAAGATTCAGGTTGCACCAAACGAAGGTCTAGACGTATGACATTAGTCACTACCTAGTGTCCAGTCAGAGTATACTCCAGGAATCGAATCCTTATTCCCCGTTACCCGTTATTGTCATGGTAGGCAAATCACCTACCAAAAAATGGACAGGGCGGACATTTGAAAGATCCGTCGCATACACAAAGCGGATTGCGATCATTCAAGTTGTCTAGAGTTATCACAGAATTCACCGAAGACAGACGAAAACTGCCCCCGGTTGGTTCTGTTCTAATAAATGCACCCGTTCCCTTGCGGGTCAGGGCATAATTGTATGTATTAGCTCTAGAACCACTATAATTATCCATGTAGTATATGCATAGTATATATGATCTAAGGAATCATAGCTGATTTAATGAGACATTTTCGGTTTCACTGTTTTAAGGTATGCACTTAGACATGCATGACTTAATCTCTGAGGCAAGGATTTGAGACTACTGGCAAGGTCAACCAGTTTATTCACACAATGATACACCCATTGGCTGGTTATTGATTTCCCGGGGAATCGACCACACCTATCCCTGTCTCCTGCGAGACGAGACCAGCACGCAGTATCATCCTGTGGTGCAACCATTCGACAGCCCTCTCCTTCGGTGGACCCATTCGCACCGTTAGTATGTACAGTAATGCATAGGTAGGCGTAGCTACACTGACCAACGATTTCGTCAGTCAGTTGTCCACTACTTAGACAGGTCCAATAGCATACAAGATCATCCGAAAGCTTAATTAAAGGCAGGAGTAGCGTGTATAACAACGCTATAGTGACACAGGCCCCTATAAACGAAGCCGGTACGCACCAACCAACTCAGCACGTGAATAACCTCCATACGTGTACTAAGACAATAGAAAGCCAGCCACAATTATATAAGTGAACTATGAGAATGGTATATCTCACGCTCATACCGTGTATATAGCTTCTGTTATGGTTACTTTATATAAGAGAGAGGGATTTCCAAAATGATAAGTCAAAGGACAATATTTGGCGCCGGATAAAGAGAAATTCTTGGAAGTAACAATAAACTAATGCTCTCAAATAATTATTTTTGTGAACAGTTTAAGTATCACAGATCTTGATCCATTAAAATGATGTGTCTGAGTCGATCATTTTCTCCCCGATGTTTGTGTGTGTGCTAAGCATAACATATCGCATGAGTAGTCTTCCTCTTTCATTCCTTTATATTCCAAGTGGAACAGGACTTCAAGTTTGAACTGTAAAGTCCCACTAGGTTTCAGGGGGCAGCGTTGCTAGCCCCACTCCCAATCTCCTCCCTCTCTACCGGGCTTATTACCGGCTGAATAAAGTTTAGGAGTGCGTCGGTCGGGAATCTAACCCCGGACTATAGGTGTTTGGTTTCACGAGCACTCTGCCAATAGACTACCGCCAACTAATGTGAATAAATTACAAGTTAGATCAATCTGAATGTGTTATACTATGTGTATGTAATTTTATTTTACTTTTTTAGAAAATGGCTATTTCTGAAGTGCTGTTACGATCTGCTAAGCATATTTTTAAAATATACCTTCAAGATGTTGATCCTATGCTGCTTTCAGTCGGTGTTGCACACTTTCTCAATTGTTTCTTAACAGCTTGTCCAAATCTTACACCTTTACTTGGAATTGATGAGGTAAATTTTTGGGCAAATTTTTATTATTAATCACTTAGTTCACTTTATTGTTCCTTTTTATATTCAGTTAAATTGTTCTGCATGAATCAGCGTAGACAAGAAGCAGTTGTAGTATTTTTAATGATATTTTTAAATTCGTGACACATTCAATTAAATGTACTTGTGATTTTCGACGCAACATGTACTTTATGTTATCTAGAAACAACTGTACTATGCTTGTTAGTCAAGATAGTATAGAATTAAGGGGTTGACAGTTAATGATAAGTAGGGTAAATTAGGGTTCTACTAAGTCATGTTTCTTCCCCAGCTAGTTGATTGGACCATTTGAAACATCTGCAGCTTGTGTACCTTCAAAAATCCTGCCAACTAATAATTCATGTATAGATGTACCAGCTTGAAAGACTCTCAAAGCCACGGATCCTGAAGCTGGTGCTACTGTTGCCAGAAGACCAATAGACGCAACTCTGAATACTACGACCTGCAACCAACTCGAATATATCAAAAGACAAGATATAGCAATTCGCAGACTATTTATTGTTCCACTGACAATAAACCACCATGACAAGACAATTACAGTACACATGGTTACAGGTACAAATACTGCAGCTTCAAAGTCGATAAATAAACACCAGTTTAATTCACTACAATACTTTTGATACTACAATTGGCTACGTACGCAATTCCAGGGGTGAAATTTCCCCATAGTCCCTTTGGAGATGAAATTATTCAGATCAATGCATGCGATCCGCTTGATACCATAAATGATGTAAGATGCTTGGAAGCAATCGGAAGGAAGCCTTACTTGACCTAGGTTTCGTGCTAGTTGGCACTCACAAGTCAGCAAGATGTATCTGCAACCTTGAACGAACTCATCTGTCTTCTGAGATTCGAACCTGAGTTACCCAGTGCCGCAGTCAGAGGCGTTACCACTGAGCTAGCTATTCGGGCTCGCGATTGACCTCTTGTAGGAGTGTATTCTATATTTTTGATTGGACGCTAGTAACCAGTGGGATGTGTCTAGTCCTTTGTGTGGTGCAGACTGGATTCTGTCAGTCAATTTTGCAATACCAACAATTCACAGTGCACCGTGATGTCGAGCCACATTGGAGACTTCTGACAGAATTCAATCTGCACCAAAGATAGGGCTAGACACACACACATTACACTACTTACTGAGTAGTGTCCAATCAAAAATACTATAAATAGTAATCTAGAAAGCAAACATTTGATGAATTAGATGTGCATAATTCGGATGTTCTGAACTTATTCGACTCTCTGAACGGAGTCGAAAGCGGGTACCGTGCTGATAAACTCGGCTCTAGGCAACTGAAACGGCCGTCCGCCGTTTAGATCGTCTCGATGAGGCTAGCCTGCAAGCACTACTAATTGATGTGAGTGGTGGTGGTATACAACTACTTATGTCAATTAATCAGTAGTATGTAGTTTCATGTAGTTTAGTTTGTTTGCAAACAGCTTCCAATGTCAGTACTATTTATTAATAATTTTAACATGAATAACATTTCTCCTATCTATAGCAAGTACTGAAACTCAATCGTAATAAGAAAAATAAGAAGAAATCGAAAAGTCTCCGCGAATCACCAGGTTGGTGTGGTTATAACACATGTGTAGTGTTTGTGCATTTCTTTTACGTCAGTTTAAATGGGCAGAGTCAATTTTTTTTATTTCAACATTACTTTCCATCATTAACAAATTATTTTGTATCAGCGTCCATTGAATTCCTTCCTTGTTGCGACAGTTTCGAATATTTCGCGTCAAAAAACTTTGTTGGTTCCGCCGAGTTCCAAGTAGAATATAGAGGGCTTCAACAGAACATCAGAACATTTCACCCTACCCTCCACAGTCCTCTTTAGCTGGCTCCACGATTGCTTATAATCTTTCATCTCATTTTCGCACGAACTCCTCCATGTCACCTACGGACTCACGTCCCATTTGTCGTTTCCTATTCTCGAGCAATAGTCTGTCATGTGATGTCACCCAATGGTCTCCTCAGTGTGTGTGTGTGTGTGTGTGTGTGTGGGTGTGTTCGATCCACCTCCATTTTCTGTGGAATATTTCTTCAGCAATATAGGTTCTCGGTTGGTTTGTTCCCAGAGATTCTTGCTACTAATTCATTCTGGCCAATGAATCTTCAGTTTGGAGCAAAAACAGCTATTGACAACAACAGTCTACAGCTGTCTGTTGAAATGCTTTCCGTGACACTCCAAGTTCCTGACTCATATAGAAGACGAAGTGACTTACTTAACTTTGATGCTGAAAATGCTAATTTTGTTCTTTATGCTGATTGGTGTATGTGTGCTTTGCCTTTCCGACAGTCCGTGCCTTTGACATCCTTATCCGTACTGTTGTCTGTATTAGTTGAAACTATACTTCCTAGATAAATAGAGAAAGAGACGTCTTTCAGATTTAATATGTTCATAGTGATTGGTTATTCCGGTATTCACTCATTTATATACAGGCCGCTTCAATACAGTAAACCATGTTTCACTTTCTGTAGCTTTCTTCATGCCAATATTAATGTTAAACGTGCCATCTAAAGATGTTTAGTTCCTTCGAACTGTGTAATTCGCCAATAACGAATTTGGAACATTATCTTACGTTGTTATTATTTTTATGTATTTACTAAAGAAATCTCATAGTTTGGGATACTGCCCGAATATCCAAACCTAAGCACTTGGTTGTCCTAAGGAGCCACTCCCTGAACTTTTGACTTGAAGTCTAATAATCCACAAGGCAGTGGTGCTGCTATCCAATAGTTTCTGATGGTCAAAACAAGTTCATACACCATTCTATGCATTCGGATTCCTGAGCCCATGAACCCCAGTTGTTGAAGAGCAGTGTTTTCTTTGGCTCCTCTAGGTAGACAGCTTGTCAACCAATCCGACTCTAAGCACTATATGTTCACGTTCGCCCTTTCACCCCCGAGTCGTGAATACAGTGAATATAAGACTTACCTGGCAGAGGCTGTGATCTTAGGTGGTTAGAGGCAATCTGTCGAAAGCCTTGCTTGACCTAGTTTTCGTGCTAGTTGGCACTCACCAGTTAGCAAGGCGTGTCTGCAACCTTGAAGGAACTTATGTCACTTCTGAGATTCGAAGCCGCCTCACCTAGTGCTGAAGCCACAGTCTGTACCGAAGATGAAACTAGACACATTACACTAGTTACTGACTGGTGTCCAACCAAAAGAGGCTGTGATCACATGACCGTATGAGACTATTCCGCGCGGAAGACTGCTCTCAGTGATACCAAATCGTTCATTGGGGCTCGGTAACCAAATTATTTAGGCGAGCCGCCTTGATATAATATACCACCTTGCACTTTCACTAGCTTGCTTAATGCCAGTAGTGATGTCATGCACATAACATATTGTGAATTAACGATTTCAGTCCCCTGAATCTGTATAGTTCGTAAATGATGAATTCGGACATAGTTTCCTTCAAGCAAAAGTATAATCTATTTTGGTAAATTCACTACTAATATCTACAGTCAATATTTTAAAAAAAAACGTATAACTATATAGATTGTCAGTGTCCTTTCAAAGTGAACATTAAATTGCTTGCACTTCCATCAATGTGATTTATGAGAGGATCATAACTGTACTTTCAGTGAATGTAATTTATAAACCGTATAAGTAAACGATGTATTCTCCTTATATAAGAGTATTAGGCATTTTAAGTTTCTTTGTATAACCTTTCCTCTCTCTCTCTCTCTACAAAAGTAGCTTTTGCTCTTATTTGTTTTTGATTTGAGTGATTATGAGCAATAAATTGTGCTCGAAACGTCATCAGTTCATATAACTGTAAACACTGTGCGATTTATCAAAATAAAAATCTTATCTATAATGGAATTATACTCTACCACAGTGCCCAAGTTTTATACTGATATTTTTCTTTTTCCTGTAAACGATTTAAAAATGTAAGATTTCATTCGATGATAGTGATGATGATGATGATAGCATCAAGTGAATTCCGGTCCTATGCACAACATTTCCAAGTGAAAATTCTCGAGTTCCGACAGCATACAATAAAAGCGTATTGCATCAAGCTGCTGAATATATTTTATAGCATATAACCTTACTGACTGAGTTGCGCATTATTTAGTTGAATTTAGGTGTTTTCTTGTTCTCTTTATCCTCGTACTGATGACAGTTCCAGTCCAGTGACATGATGCTACAGGACTGGACTACATCAACTCCCAGCTTAAAGGTAGGGAGTGAAGTGATAGAGCTTGTTGATCACCGTGTTCACCTGGAAAGTCTCACCAACCCTAATGAGATGATTGCCGATGAAATCTCAGAACGAATTCAAATATATTGTATGGTAATCACCAATTTACGCCTCTTCTGGAGTAGATATGATATCCGACGCAGTTGTAAGTGAGACGTAGCCACTGAAAGTGGGACACATGAAAAAGGCACTGTCTTTGATCATAGGTGTCTGCATTGTATCCCACGCTGGGTGATGTAATAGGCTGAGTGATATTGAGGTTAGGAAGGTGTTAAGAAGGAAAGTCAATCGATCAGGTTGTTAGCTGACATTTTTTTTATTACAGCTTGATTCCACACTGTATTTTTGGTACAAGTATGGAATGTTTTTACGAGTTGATCAAGTATGGAATTTTCAGCATGTGATATGGGTAGCCCAAATTTCGCAGGCCGACCATAGATATCAGGTGTGCGTCGGTAGGGGATCGAACCTCGGACCATGTGCATGGTCGGCGAGAGTCCTAACCACTGTGCTACCGACGCACAGCGTAACATAAGGTGAGGTGTGAAAACAGCTAGTGACGGTCAAACGAAATCTTGAAATCAGTTCGTGAAAACTTAAGCTCTTAATTTGAGCCAGCCAAGTAGGGAGGTGTGGACTGTCTGACTGGTCGAGTTCTGTGGGATTTATTGATCACTTAACTAGATAATTGATAAAGAAACCGACATGGATTTGATCAGTTCTTCTGCGTTATTTACTTAAGTTTCATACTAAGTGGCATAGATGTTCTATGTAAATATGATTACTTCGTGAAAGGGTTTCATTTGTAATATTTATTTTCATCTCTGGATTAAATCACTTAAAAATACCCTTTCCTAAATACCGGGAAGTTCACAACTTGTGTTTGGAATCGCTTGCCAGCTGTGAAGTCGAACACCTCCATTGGGACAACGTTTGGCATCGGGAACTGAGTTGACAGAGTCACGTATTACGTAGAACTACTATGAGTATATCAGTAAATATTTTGATTTTTCTGGTAGATTTAGTCAATATATCGTCCTACGTGTTCATAATTATCCTTAGTCCGTTGTTATTGTTGATGGGATTGACTCAGCGATTTCAACGCAGAGCTTTGTACAGGTGTGCTGCAGTTCTAGTTGCCACACTCCATTTAGCACACGAAGCAAGAGAAGACAGTAAAGAGGGAGGTAATAAACAGGAGTATGAGGCAAAGAGAATGGTAATATAGAAGAACAAGAGGATTTTATTGAATATGATAAATCACAAAGAGTGAATGTATCTGCGTTCGCCATTGAGAACGATGAGTTGTCTCCAATTGTCTCCAGTCACCATTGGTTTTCACCATCTCGAGGACCCCAACCATCCAAGTAGAGTCTACACCTCATTACGTGATTGGCTTAAACTAACTGTTGTGGATTTCATTGACTGATGAAGCAATGTTTTGATTCTAGCTCTTTTCCAACCTCATCGATTCTATGTTAGCTAATATTACCCATCAGTCGAGAAAGACAATGGCTAGGCTAGGCTAGGCATGAGTAACACATGTCCTAACCATCTCAATCCGTATGATTTCACAACCTCGCCGATTAACTTCCCCTCCTTTCTTATCTAGCATTCGACTGAAGCCTAACCTCAATATTGCTCACCTTATTATAATACTTAAAACGGGCGAACTCAGGCACCTGTTATCAAAGACAGCTCGCCTTTTCATGTCTTCTACTTCCAATCACCATGTCTCACTCACAGCCATAAAGGAGGATACATAGCGAACTGCTGAGCAATACACATGCCCTTCGTCGGCAGACGGTCGGATATCGCGTCTGCTATTCCACAGATGGCATAAGCTGGCGTTCGAGACTAGAGACAGCTTTTGTAATCTCAGTTGGGCACAGTGGACCTGTGATTATTATTGTTAATGTATATTTTCAACCGCTGGCCTGTGTTTTATTTCAGCGTATATTAATAGTGATGTACTTTTTAAAAAAGTAAAAATTCTTCAAATATTGTTCTGTCTTTTAAATCTTTTAGAAGAAATGGCTTGGCTTAATGAAACACATTCCAGTATATGGGCAGAATTAATAAAGGAGGCCAAAGAATATTATCATTATCAAATAACTGCGTAAGTATTATTATTCTGCTTGTAATGCAATGATAGGTATTGTAGCATTCTTGTAATTTATTCCATGAACTCATACCTCATATAGATCTTCACTGTCGTTCTCTTCGGTTGTTGATTCGACATCTATCTACTCATTCATACTGTGAAAGTTTTAGCAAGAAGTTATAATATGTATGGAATCAAAAATACGTGTTTCGTTATTATTTCCTAAACGGCTTCAATCAACAGTGATTGTTTCAGTCTGGTCGTCATCATCATCTTTTAGGGTAGAAAAATGACAGCTGTGCTCTACCTTCTGATGTACTGAGCGTCTCACACACATGTCATAAATAGCGCAAACTTAAGGTGAACGAAGTGGTTAGTATGTTTCATCCCTTCCGGACCGATGGCTGCCACCTTGACATAGTGGTCTTCGGGCTTGCATATCGTTATGACCCAACAAGCTACATTGGATGTTCTTGCAGGTCCTACCATGCAGTTAGATTACAAACAGTTACTGGCACTGTGTAAGATGGTTATACTACTCTAGGTGTGTGTGTGGGAAAAGTCGTACTACTAGGGGGCAGGGATTTAGCAACAGTTAGGTGTTCCCCTCAAGTGACCAGCGTGCGTCTGTACTCTGGAGTTTGGGGGAAGTGTTAGAAAAGGTCGACTCCAAAAATTATGCACCCCATCTTACCCTACGGTGGTAAGTTCCTAGTATGGAAACAACTGTAAAAACCAATTCAAACAGGCCCTGTGTGACCGACTTCAAGCAGTTGTCCCCTAGGCACTGTGGTCGCGCATCACTAATTCTCTTTTTGTTTCAGATACCCTAACAAAAAGAACAACTAATTTTCACAATGTGGCTAGCCAGAAAGTAACGACCGCCCACACACTTTTGAAACTGCACGATGCCCTCTACCAGACAGTTCATCACTTCACGTCACCTTAATGTCTAGGCAGAGTGAAATCATGTGATGTTTGAGAAATACTCTGTGTTCTACTGGAATGGTGTTAACTGAACACTTTAACCTTAGTCATGTGCGAAATCAAAACTAGTAATAGAATCCTTAATTTTCAGCATTTTTATGGATTGGGTATGTCAACCTTTTCGCTCAATTGAAATGAGGCATTTAGAAGATAAATGTCGTGAAATGATTTCTTCATTTTGTAGTTTCTCTATAATCACTTTACACAATAATAAAACAAAATGTATGAACAATTGGTCAGTTACATAAGACAAAAGTATATGCATACCAATCATATTTAAGTAGGTTAATTAGCTCATCGTAGGAAAAGGTTGAAGTCTATTGTGTTTTGCGCACATAGTTCAAAATGCACGTGATTCTCTGAAGTGCTCACACACGACCTTATATAACCAACACTTGAATATCACTCTGATACTCACTAAGGACTGGTCCTTATCAGGTAGGAAGGTACCTGGGTTCTAAAGAGAAGTCTTGACTAATGGGTCCACCAGCTTGGAAGTGAGCACAGATACTCGCTGATGATGTTAGCTACTGGTCATGATTGGCAGAAGTTGGAATTCGTAGGCTGGCCATTGAGTCGGGACCCAGTGGCTGAATGGCCTGTGAACTTAACTTGTAACCTAGAGAGGGTTGTGTATTCGAGCCCCGGCGGGTGCGCACTGATGATGAGTCCCAAACTAGGACGAGACAACTGCCCAGTACTCGCTTGTTTATCAGCGGTTCTCTAACCGATGTCAGCTGATGATGAAATCCTGTAACCAATCAAATCAAACCCCTGCAAACCAACGCTTGATTATTTGAAGTTATTGGAAGACAGTCATTAATATTTATTCTGTGACCAGCGCAAAACATGATGATGGATTTCTATTCAGGTTAATTACATTTGGATTTTCTGTGTGACTTAATAACCACTTATGAACATGTTCTTTTCGACGACATTGAAACATTCTGTTGGTTCTACATATATATATCATCCCAACTGCAGGTGAACATGTAGACTCATTGTGAAATAGAGACGACAGAATTTCGTCTTTTAATCGTAGGTACAGGAATCGAAAATGTTCCAAATATGAGGGAAACAGATACAGCGTAGAATGTGTTATTAATAACTAACAGAAGCCTTGGGACGGTCGATGGCACGATTTGATAACTCTTGAATGATAGTTTGATAAACATAGCTTTCTTTCTTACGGAAGCTGTCTTTTCTAGGGATAGTTTCTACTTACCGTGGCGCACGCTGAAATTTGCATGATAACCATTATTAGCTAATCAAACTAAATGTATGTGCCGTCCGTGCATAGTCTATGGGTTCTTGAAAAAAAGGCATTTCACCAGGGAACAAAACTGTTGAAATGAAGATATAATCCACTCCACGTGTCCGCCTGCGTAACATGGATCGCCTAACTGTTCCCCTTCGTCTCTCCTAATCGTTGAAGTATCCAAGAAACACCCAGTTTGTTATTCAATTCGAACCCCAAGGTCACTCGAATATTTGTATGAATATTATTACAAGTGGAGTAATGAAATTTTCAGACGACCCACTATTGTCACCAATAATAAGCGTATCATCCACATAACATTTATACAACGTAAAGTTTCCTAACACACTTTGCGTTTCTTTCTTCAATTTATGTGCACAATTACATCTGCTAACAGGGGCCTGAGAGGGCTCCCCGTTAGGACACCAGCATTGCTTGGAAAACTAATCTTTTATTCGTATGTACTTATGTTTGATATAACTGAGTAATTGTCATACATCTTTATTTTATTATTGTCACCCATGTTGTGTTGTAAAGCAATTGTAGAGAAACTACTAAATGTTGATATCATCTCGTGACATTTGTCTTCTCAATGCAATGCCCTACCTACTTAAAAATGAATTAAATAATTCTTTTAAACCTTTGGCAGTTTAAACTTCCTTCGTTGTAGTCAGTGAAATATCACTACATGCTTGTTTTCAGTGAACAAACAAACAAACAAAAATATGCTATCTCTCGACATTGAGTCATTATTTACCAACGTTCCACTCACAGAAACTGTCTCTTACATTTGTCATTATATCGACGAAAATCACCTGAACATCATCGGATTACCGACGACCTGTTTAAAAGAACTACTGTAACAACAGAAGACAAGGGCCAGGCAACAGATCGTTTTATTATGAAAATCAACACGTATTTATACATATTTCACATACATTATTATAGCTTATGCAAGTAGACAAGCGCAGTTATCTGATTGGTTGTTTCGGGATTCCTCGACAAATAGAGTTCTCTATCTGCGAATCATATTTTGCCACGTTAACTTTGCTGTGATTGGTTGTTGAATCAGCCTTGCTCATATTTTCTCACGGCCTGCTCTCACCACACTACTACTGAGATGTACACTCAATGTACAGTTCACATTCAACGAGGTTATTTACAGACAACAAAATGGGATCGCAACGGGATCTCCATCGGACCCATTACTAGCAGACTGCTTCATGGCAAGCCTCGAGAACGGCCCACTCACATCAACTATTGACAATTTCCAATTGTATGTTAGATATGTGGACGACATCTTTATTATCTGTGATGAAGGTCACGATCTGAATCAATTACTGCAAATATTCAATCCATGCCATCCAGCCACAAAGTTCACTCTAGAAATTGAAAACGAATCTAAAATCTCTTTTCTTCTTGAACTCACAAGGAGAGTTGACGGGACTTTAAGAAGATCCATCAGTAGGAAACCCACATAGAACGGCCAACTGACAAGCTTCTACTGCTGGGTACAAATCAGTCGGAAGAGAATCCTGATTAGATCTCTTGCCACTCGCGTCCTACGCATCTGCAGCTATGATACCCTAGAAGAAGAACTACACTTCCTGAAAGAAACCTTCATACAAAACGGTTATCCATCAAGATTCGTAGACAAAAGCATCAAACGAAAAATCCAAAAGCAAGAGACACCATCCGTGCCAAAAAAGATGCTTTATATGACCTATTCAGTGATGTCCTTAGGAGAAGAGTTTCCACTTCTTTAAGAAGTCATCGCCTCCCTCGGCGAGCTATGTTAGCGGATATAGGGTCAGGCTGGAAAAAAGCTAGCGGCGGTCAAACAAAAACTTGGCATCAGTCAATGAAATCCACAACAGTTGGTCTAAGCCACGTAGAAAGGTGTAGACTTCCAGGCTGGGGTCCTCGGGACGGTAAAAATCTATGGTTGGAAACAATTGGTGACATGGCTGAAAACCGTTCTCAGTGGCGCAGATGCATCCACTCCCTGTGACTTATGATCTTCAATGAAATTGTTTTGTATTTCTTTATTACTCCTTTGTCTCACACCTCTGCTCACTGTTTCTATTATGCTTTTCTTGTACTTTCTTCTCTTGCTTCGCGTGCTACACGGAATGTGGTGACTTGAACTTCCGCACATTTGTGCAAAGTTCTATGTCGAAAACAGACAGACAGACAGACTTCTTTAAGAAGAACTTTCCTTGCTGCAACATTGGGAGTAGTGTTCTCCAGTCGCCCGCTGATCTGCAGAAGCTCAAAGGACAAGATTCCGCTCCTGACCACTTCTGTGTGTATATATCAGTTCATCTGTTGCTGTTCAAACGTGCATCCTGTCAAACAGGGTCAAAGAACACTATCCAGGGTAGCTAGAGAAAGGAAGGAGTGGCTGTATAAGGAATGCAATAATCGAACATCTCATCAACATTGGTCATTCCATCTCATCAAACGTCTCCTTCAAAGTGATCTACAAAGTGAAGAACAACCTTCTAAAGACAGTACGATCCCATCTTCTTTGCACTGCAGAAGCCCTAGCCATTCAGTTGGAAGAACCAGAACTATGCATTCAAAAGAAAATTATTCAACCACTTCTACTCTCATGGTAACAACTCCGTTGATTTGACTTAACTATTGTTTGTATGCTTATTTTTTCCTAACTACTTAAAACCCTTACGTAAAATTCCGTATGTTATTTTGTTTCCATGTACACCCTGAGCACAACTCCTTTGTTATTACGTAACTCTTGTTTAACAATCATTTGTGACAACTCATCACTTTTGTTACTATCCTCTTATATCAACATCCAATTCACCTGAACTTATTAATTGTATTTTCATTTGACAAATTTAATGCACACACACATACAAAACAACAATATATATACATATATATATTTACGGCTGTACAGCTATGAAAATGAATTCGCCGCCGAGAAGAGACTCTTCGCTGAACTACTGGTCTTTTGTCTAATAATATTCGAATGGGAATTGTTCATGAATGTTTTTTTTTATTGAAACCAACATTCGTTCTAGTCATCGTTTTAGTAGTGGAAATAACGTCAATATTATTAATAGTAATAATCAATTCTTTTGTTTGGACCACAATGCATTGTGACCACAACTGTTTTACTGTTCACATATATATGTATATACATAGATATCTCCTAGCACGAATTCTGGACACAGCTTCATTGTGTCGAAACATGTCCAAATATGTGTGTGCACACAACATTTTTACCAGAGAGAGAGAATAACATTATATATTACTTTCCTTTATATAAATATGTGTACCTATCTCCCCCTTTTAGGTCAGATATAGATGAATTCTGTAAAATCTTTGAAATTCAACGTGTTCATCTGCTCAGATCATTTTGTACCTCAGTCGGCATACAACTACTTCTGCGTGAGTACAATCTGACTCCACCGAATGGAGCTAAACATCATCAAAAGCCTGTATTTACCACCGATGATATAATATCACTTTTCCCTGTGGTTAAACATTTACATCCTCATGCAACTGATGCTTATCATTATTTTACAACTGGTCAAGCTCGTATATCTACTGGTCATTTTCAAGAAGGTTTTGAACTGATCAATGAAGCTTTAGGTCTTCTCAACGGTGTTTATGGTCCCTTGCATCCTGATATTGGTGCTTGTAATCGTCTTTTAGCTCGTCTTTCATATGTTATGGGTGAACATCAAGCTGCCCTATTGTTTCAACATCGTGCTACTATGATTAGTGAACGTGTACATGGAATCGACAATCCAAACACTGCTACTGAATATGTAAGTGTATTATCTTATTTTGTTTATGTTATTATATAACAATTAATGAATTTATTTTAAATTTTTAATGAACGGTAGAACGTCTAGTGTTACAGCTTAATGCTTTGGTATTGTAGTTATCGTTTTAGTAATGTGTTGATGTTTTGAGTGCATTTATTCGTCTGACATCGAAGTATTTGTGTGATGGTGTGATACAGACAATGCGCTCCAACAGAATATTACTCTCAGCGCGGCCACGTGACGCTGCAACTCTCCAATTTGTTGTCCACCTTGGTTGGCTTTTGGTGGCTCTATCACGGCAACTGTCTTGCTTACTAGTTGTCTGGTCACTTGCGAGCTCCGCAATATCCAGTGGCTGTACGACGTGAATCAGATGTAGCCTTTGAGATATGTGCTCTTGATTGAACACTTTCGATAAACTGAGATGCCAACATTAGTGTCTCAGAATCTTCGTCCAGTGTTGGCAACGCTGGATGCAGTAGGTTTGTCAGGGTCAGCGCTAATACAAGAGGGTCACCGTCAACTCTCAGCTTCGTGATACGAAACTACTGCATCTCCCGCTCTCTGTTCAGTGGGTTGTCAAACCCCTCCTTCAAGCGTTCCACTACTGACTTCCAAGTTGCTTGCTCTTCTATTCTCTTCACACTATCATGTGCTGCCTTCGCCCGACCTCTCAGCAGCGTTCCAAGTAAAAGCGTCTTCGCTGACGTATCCTGATTGTCACTCAACTTCGTAACAGTCTCGAATACCTTCGAAGAGATCTTTCTTCAAAAACTGCGGGCCATGGGATTTTCATTTCTCGAAAGGTAGCGACACTAAATGTAACAACAGAAGTCAAGACACGGAAGCCAAAGTATATTTTTCATTGATCAAACCGCTGTTTATATTTATACAGTTTATATCCGTTAATCAATCACTAAGCGTGTGATTTTGGTTTACATTAAACGACATGAAATAGAATGTTCAAATATACGTAGTATTCTGTTGAACTGTGGCAATAATATTCCGCCTGACCGAAAGCTGCCACCTTGACGTGGTGGTCGGGCTTGAACACCGCAATGTCCCAACAAGCTATACTGGCTGAGACTTATGTCTCTTGAGGTCCTACCATGCCAGAAAGGTTGTTTGGATAGAGGTTAGACAAAAAGCAGCTACCCAATCCAATACTCTGTTACAAACAAACTCACAAAATACCATTCCGGATCGGTTGGGACCCGGATTAACAAAGACCACGCTTCCTGCTGCCGTGTCACAGGGCAGGAGTGATAAATATGCTACTGAGGCACACCAAACAATAAAGAACAAACAAAAACAGGCCGCGTATGACCGGCCTCAAGCAGTTGTCCCCTGGGCTCTGTTGTCACGCAGCCAAGTTCCACGATGTGGGCAGCTGGGAAATAACAATCGCCCTCCGAAACCGAAATGCACACGAAGCCAATCCGAATAATATTCTGACTCTAGCAGGAAACAGAATGTTCAAATAGATATATCGTAGTCTGTTGTTAATGCCGGATTGAACTGTGGGAATATGTGAGAATCATATTCCGTTGGAACACACTGTCTGTATCACACCACCAGATATGATCTATTTTGATTATCACATTGACGTAAAAACTCAATACTCATAATTTAAAAAGTGCAGCAGTTCACTTTGACGCTGTGTAAAATGAATTTGAAAGCTGAAAACAGTTTTTCGACGCATGTCATATGAAGTATCTCAGTGTGTGTCGATGTTTATGGGTTAGGTGGTGTGCACCTTTCAACTTTGCTGATACCAGTCAAAGACATTGCTAACTGACGCTGTGTTTTGATTTGGCTACCACTACTGTTTTTACTAACATTGCCTTGGCATAAGTGTAACACCGTGTCAATCGACACAGCTTCACCGCTTCGTCGATTGAATTTCTCTCCTTAACTAAAATGCTGCGCTTAAGCTCAATAGTGCTCATATCATACAACGCTAGTATCTATGATCAAAGAAATCTGGCCTCTTTAAAGCTTCGCCTTTTTACGAATATGTCCTACAGTCACAAAGGACAGACCTAACTGCAGCGCAGTACACATGTCTTTTGACTGACTGGTAATCAGATATTATGTTGACGCCAGGGATAATGACGTAATCTAGCAAATGTTACAAGAGCCTTTTATATGCGTACTGAAATTTCGTCTGCAATCAGTTCCAAATTACTGAAATAGTCAACACGTTCGGGCCCTCAACTAGGAGTTAGAAGTAGGTGTGAACCAGTACTGTGACATTAGCTTACATTTGACAGATGCAAACTGCACGCTAAACTTACCAAGGTTTGTACTCATAACGTGTAGCGTCTTGACGTAGAAGGACGATATCATCTGTTTACTTTAAACTGGCAAAACTGAACTCTAGTAATAATCCCTGAGTCTCCGAAGTCGATTTGGGTCATTGTCATTAAAGAAAAGTGGATACATTCCGCATTGCTGGTGAACGTCCCTCATTTCTGACTAATAACAATAACATTGTAACGACAGAAGAAAAGGGTCACACAACAGATCGTTTATTGAGAAAATCAAGAGGTATTTATAGATTTTTATGTACATTATTAATATTAGTGTTATTGTTAGCAGAGAAGCAATGTCTTCTGATTAGTTGTTTTCTTGCCGAAGGTTATTCTGTACTGCTAGTGACTGTTTCTTAGAAAGTGAAGCCATATATCTGCGAATCGCACTTGCACACGTTAAGTCTGCTGTGATTGGTTGGTGAGTTCCTCAAGGTTAAGCTTTGCTATTGTTTTTTTTCTCATGTCACCGATTTGGGACGTGAGTGTTGATGTAAATTGTTGTTAACAATCTTGGCTAACAGACAGCTGTCACCACAACATTATAGTAGTAAGCTTATATAAGGACTTGATTAGCAACTTGAAATATTTCAAAAAGCGTTTAATTGTAGCTGTAAACGGCGCATGGCAACCTTTTTATGGTGTGCCCAACAAATATTTCAAATATTCACAGATTTATTCACCTGAGGATATTCTAGCGTCAGGTATTAGGATGTCTTCATTTTATGATTTTATGGTTCTGTCTTCCATCGTTATCTCTGGGTGTTTGTGTGCAGTATCTTGTAAAATGATTCATCTTTTACTTGTTAGTATTTTTAGTGCTGTAATCGTTCAATAGATGACTTTATCCAATTTGTGCCAAACTCGGCATTGTAAGTAGATCGTTAGATGATGCTTTTGCATTAGCTTCCTGGTTGTACAGAATATACAGTGTCGTAATTATTACTTAAAGGTCTTTGACTCACGTGTCTACCAGTTTCTTTATTCTGTCAAAAGTTCAACATTTGCCCTTCCTCCCAACTTTCTTTTTATTCAGATACATTTCTCGCTTTACTGTTTCGCGTGTGGACACATCTCTACAGCTTTACAGTTGCTGTATCGTGCTCGTTACATTGCCATTTTGTGTCATGGTGAATGCCATCCGGAAATAACACAAATTGACGTAAGATGGTTGTTTTATTGTCTTTTTTCTTATATTTACATTTTTTTCTGTAACATGCTTATCAATCTTTTTTACGTTAAGCAGTCATTGCAGTCATATATATATATATATATATATCATTTATTTTTATTTGTTTCTATGCTCCCCAAATAGAACATAGGTCTTCAAGGTTGAGGTTTGAAGTCTCAGAAGCAGTGGCGTTTTGGACAAGGTGAGTGTGCTAGTGTCACACTCAACCTCCCCTCTTTTTTACTGGACTTACTCCCGGCTAAACGAGATTTACGAATGTGGTGGCTGTGGATGGAACTCCAGACTACATGCGCATGGTTGGCGAGCATTCTACCACTGGACCACCGACTGCATGAGTGTTCTGCTTATATTGTGTTCATTTTGTTTGTTTACTACTCATTGTTCTTAATTCACAATGTATCTTCTTTATGTTTTAGACTAATATTGGCCTGATGTTACAGTTGGTTGGAGAGCTTGATCTGGCCTTAGTGTTTTTAGAGAATGCATTATCGTTTATTAGATTGTAAGTTATATTCATTAGTAAATATTTGAATGTTTTCTGTTTTTATTCAATTTCGAGTTATTGAATTATCCATGCATGCATTCTGGATATATATATATATATATACCCCGTATTAACAGAAAACTATGCTTAGACTGATAGGAAGTAACCCAGTCAATAAAATAAATTTGTTTGGAATCCAAAAAGGGAATGACATGGTTGTTATTTTTGTTTTGTAGGTGCAAAGTACTGTTATAAGGTTGAAAGGAGTCCTGTACTGACAGTCACTCTTGAATTTGTCGATAATTTCGTGTATCTGGATAGTTGTGTGAGTAATTGCAGAGGTGTAACGTACACGTTTTTACAACAGTATAGTGGATGCTATGGTGACAGTCGCCATTTTGAACCATTGCGATGTCTGCCTAGCTGTCAAGGGTCGGATTCACAATGCTTCGTTGTCCACAGTCTTGCTCTATGCCTGTGAATTCTGGCCTCTCCGAACTGAGGATATGCGACTCTTCGTGTGGAGACCACCATTCACTGGATGTCGTCATCTGGAAATATTGGCTTCGGTGGCTTGAACATGTACTACAAATGTCATCTTGTAGGTTTCCTTACCGATCTCTGTTCGGTAGTCCTGGATTTAGATGGAAAAAGCCGAGTTGGTCAGCTTGTGATGTGACTTCGCGGAATGAAGGGTACTTGTGTTACGTTAGCATTAGTTGGTACAACATCACAACTCCCTGTTTGGAGTCCCAGAGGTAATTCGAGTTGGTGCCTCAAGACGTTATCAGACATCACGAAAAATCACAATTATCGAAGGCACACATGCTGCAGTTTCCTTCTTTCTTCCTTTCGAGACAGTAATACGACGAATGTTGGTTGATCTTATCAAATATACTTGCTCCTATTCTGGATGACGTTCTTGATTCATTCTCTGCATCTTTTCTTTACGTGTTGCTGTCTTATAATTGTTGTATGGTGCATCTTGGTGCCTATTCTGTATTCATGATACTTTGAGAGGCCGCCGGAGCTAATGTTATCAATCACCGAGGTGTTAGTCATCTTATAGTTACTAATTTCAGCCATGTTGGATATTCTTTGTTCTATTAACCACTGCATTTTGTAATTATCCCTATTCTTAAGAAATGTCAAAATTTCAAGTAGCATATTAGACGGTAGAATTGCTGTGTATCTGCCCCTTTAAGTTACCTGGCTACTAATTAATTGAGATGAGTAGTTGGATACTACTCACACCAGCCAGTAGTGCTTGCTGTCGTCTAGGATCACTTCAATATGACTAGCAAGTACTACCGGTCGGTGTGAGTAGGACCTAACTACCTAGTTCAGTCAATCAGTAGTATTATAGCGTCGTGGAATCAATGCTTGGCTTGTTAATTGCCATTTGTGATATCTGGTACATGTGTTACAATTCACATTTATGGTGTTTTTGTTTTATTTTCTCCTTGTAGATTCTACGGTGACCGAAATTTGAAAGAAGCATTCACATGTCATTTGATTAGTCGTACACACACATATCGTGGTGATTTCCGTACTGCTCTTGACTATGAAAAGCGCCGTTTTCTTATTTATAAAGAGCGATTAGGTCCGGATAGTGATTACACCAAAGATAGTGATGAGTGTTTACGACAACTTACTCAACAGGCTGTAACAGTTGCTCGTAAAGTAGCTGAACTGACAGCTGCTTCAACGAAATCCACCGGAGGTGGAGGAGGAGATTCTTCCAATTTGAATACTCTGTCAAATGCTATTGACGCTTCCACTACTGAATCTATTGTAGCGAAAGCAGTTCTGTCAAATTCCTTTTCTGCCAATGGTGGTACTGCTTCATCCGGTTCCCTGGTTCTGCCTATACCAACGATTTCTTCAGTTTTGGAAATTCTTAATCGTGTTAATGGCATCCTGGTAATTCAATTAAGGTAAGTTATGCTGTTTTTCTATTAATGTGTTCGATGATTTGAACACTACATGAAGTCGCGACCAGTAGGGGGGGAGGTTACAGCAGGTTGAGGGTGTGAGCACAAATGCTCACCGAGGACATTGCCTAGTGGTCTCACTAAAACCATGAGTTGCTAGAAGTTGGAATTCACGAGCCATTGGATCATGTCCCAGTGGCTTGATCGTCTACTAGCTCACTCAGCTTGTAACCAGAGAAGGCCTTGGGTGTGAACCCTTTGTTGGTGAGTGCACACTTCTGAAGAGCCCCAAACTAGGACGAAATAACCCTCTATCCAGTGCTCCCATGTTTTCCAGTGGTCCTCTTAATGATGTCAGTTCATGATAAAATCCTGAGAGCAGTCAAATTGCTGCTAACCAACACTTGAACTACAGTATATTGTTGAAAAAAATTTCCCATCTCTCTAGACATTTAGATGGCGAAAAGATTGAGCGAAAAAATGTTCACTTTTAAATTAGATCCTCATCTCTTAGTCTGTACTTGAATACATGTGGCATCTTAATACAATACAAGGAGAAATCACTGCAAATACCCATTGAGTCATGAACAAAATAAAAAACAGTTTCAGCGAAGAAAATTTTCGTTATCGATGAAATCATCTTCAGAGGCTGTACAGTCGTATTTATACTTAGAAAAATATATAGTGGTCTATTATTGATTAATAGAGGGTGGCATAATTGATATAATTAGAGTGAAAATTAAAAGTTGTAAATTACGTGCTACTCAACGGAACAAAGATAGAAGTTTGATAAGGTTAAAATTGCTCTTGAATGAGAATAAAGGTATTTGAGTGTCAATTTAACAAGTGTGAAGAAGGTTCTGAAAGTATACAAAAGGAGCATATGAGAGTAATAATAGTGAATTCATTAATAAAGTAAAAGCAAACTAAAAGTAAAATTGAAAATTTTTATACAGGGAACGATAAGTGAAGAGGTTAAGACCAAGGTAGAATAATAGACTGGACAAACTTTTTCTGTATACAGAGTTCAGGATTGTATTGATGGAATTGCCAGCACCTCCGCCTTACACAAAAGCCGAAACCTGACGCCCTTTGTACCATTTGGCTTCACTTTGTAGATGATGTTGAAAGACGACTCTGGTGGAGCTACGTGACCTGAGTTCACCAAATGCTCGAGAACTGAGCTAGTAATTGTCTTGCATTGTCCCTTTGCTTACCATGCCGAATAATGTTCAGGGATGCGTTTGGAAAACGTGCGCTTTGTGCGGCCAATACAACTAGCTCCACACGAGCAGGTGAATTTATAAACATATATTGAGGTGGCCCAAAGCGGCAGTGTATCCTTCACACATTCGTCGATCATTTGTCGGCTGCAGAAATTGATACGTAGCTCAGCCATAAAGAAGGCTTTCCTCAGTGATCTGCATAAGCGATTCTTCAGGATCTCAGCTGCAATATCACCTTTAAATTCAACACTCATAAATAGCAGTTTCTTCGGCACCGTCTAGATTCTATCAGCCTTTTCCCTTCATGTTTTTCTCGATAAGGAAAACTTCACCAAACGGGTTTTTGGAAAACTAATTTTGAAAGAACAATGAGTAATTCGCTGTGGGGGAGGGAATAAGCGAGTGTCCATGTTGCTTACGTAATAGTCAATTGAAGAGGAGGGAGTCAGAAAAATAAAATAATTTAGACAGTCATAATATTTAAAAGCTGTATGGGAGTGGCGAAATAGTCAGGTGTTTGCATTCTCTTGTATAGTGATGGCCAAGGTAAGAAAAAGGTGATTACGAATTCATTTGAAATGCACACACACACATACCTTTGGCTTCTTCAGGTGGATTCCGATGGCTTTAGATGTGTGTAGTTCACGAACTTGCAAAGCAAAATCTAAGATTAAGTGTGATTACGGATTGATATTACTTGGAAAAGCAAGCATTGGAAACCAGCAGGGAGTACTGGACGGCTGCTGTTTCGTCCCAGTACCCAGGACTCATTAGGTCCCCGTGGCGGCTGACTTGTAACCGAAAGGTCCTCGTTTTGAAACCCACGGGGGTGCATACTGCCGATGAGTCCTGGATACTAGGACACAACAACTGTCCAGTACTCTGTGTTGGTTTTCAATGGTGCTCAGGTAGACTGAAATAAATCTGATTTATAACCTCAATATATTGGTGATGCTCTATTTATTTCAGAGGGAAAGATGAAGAGAATTCGGATCAGGATGCTAAAAGCCTACCAAGTAAAAGCATTTCCTCGAAATTACACGGATTTAATGACAACTGTGCAAGTAAAGATGTTTCTCAGTTGGAAAAAGAATCTTCAGCGGCTACAACAACAAATAATGTTATTCCAGTGTCATAATATATTTCCAAATGAATTCATTTCATTCACATTATTAATATCATCATCTAATTTTGGGTTAGTGTGAGATACACAGTGCGCAAGAAATTGAAAAAAAAACAATTCTAGCTAATAATAATAGTAATAAATAATATAATATAATATAATCTGTTCAACAACAGTCAACTAATCCTCATTATCAGTCTAAGTCTAAGTCATTTTTTCTTATCTTACCCACTTGCTGCAACTGTTATTATTATTATAATTATCAGCATTATTTTGTGTATAGTAGTCTTCCTATTTTTTCTAATGTACCGTTTATACTACTACTAATACTATTACTTATTGTATTGTAGTTTAGATAAATTTCAAATTAAATTTGCCTTTTCGTTCAACAGTTTCTGTCTACTATTCTCAATTTTTCATACATTTATTGTGCATCTTTAGGTGTACATAGTGTGTATGCGCGTATTTGTGCTCATAATTCTCCTTCTACTGGTTCTTGTTTTTTCCGAATTAGAAAAACAATTTTTCTACACCTTCAATCATATGTATACATAGTTGTAGAGATAAAATTTTAGAATAGGTGAATAAATATATAAATAAATAAATTCTACCCATATTTGCATTTTGGAAGCTCATATCCACACACACACACACACATTTCCATTGGTAATTTTTGTTTTTCTTTAACAGGAAAATAAATAATCAATCCACTTTTGTGGAGTACTTATTATTGATTTTCTCTCTCTACTGTCGCCTATATTGCACGTTCGATGATGCGATTGTTTTTTGTGCCCTCAGGTATAGTCGTACTGCGCAAGTACCTCTTGTAGGTTACGTGTTGAGATACTTAATACTTTAGGTGTGGTGATGCCTGTGGAGTACTATCGTGGCTGTGATATGGGCACGCCTCCATAGCTCCTGCGAGGTGAGTTTTATTCACGGAATTAACGCGGTAGGCGGTGGGGTGGAAGGTTGGTTGTGAACGTTTTGTTGCTTGCTTGCAATTGGACTGACGGACGTTCTAGTCTACCCTAGAAGAGTTGGAAAGCCGTGAGAGAGAGAGAAATCTATGGTGTCCATATGGTTTCGAGAATCCGAACGGTTACTGGAAACCATGTGAACGCAACTCTTGACACTGTTTGAATTTCCTTTTGATCAAACTTTTCTAACCGAAAGACCTGAGGAGCGACTCCTTAAGACCAATCACCTGCTTTGATCTAGGTGTCTGGGCAGTATGCCACCCATCACATAAGCTATGCTATTCTGTGTGTAGCGTAGTGACATCTCTTGGTGCCCATAATGTGTCAATTTTGTGTTGGTTGAAAATATTACTTTGATAAACCATAGAGAGGGTTCTGAGGCAGCAGGTCTATATAAGTTTCTAGTCATGAACACATTCAAATTGCATTTCGTTCCTTACTGCTTAGTTTCAATACCTCTCCCGACCGATAGTTGCTACTTTGACGTTGTGGTCGGGCTTGCACTTCGCGATGACCCAAAAAGCTGCACTGGCTGGAACCAATGTTCCTGCAAGTCCTACCATGCCAGGAAGGTTGTTAGGATAGCGATTAGACTAAAAGCAGTTACCGGCATTGTGTAAGAATCTTTCTTACACTATGCTGGAGGTCTGAGGGCGAAGTCGTACTGCTGGGGAACAAGGATGTAGCAGCAGTGAGGTGTTTCCCTCATGTGACCAGCGTGCCAGCTATGCTGTCACCCTCTCTCCACTCTGGAAAGAGAGGGGGTTAGAAAAGTTCGACTCCGAAAATTGTACATGCCGACTTACCCTACGGTGGTCCAAAACCGGCGATAAGTTTACTAATAAGGAACCAATCCCAGAAACCACTTTATGCAGGCCGTGTTTGACAGGCCGGCCTCAAGCAATTGTCCCCTGGGCTCTGCGGTCACGCAACACTTTCTGTTTCAGGTACCCGAAGAGTCAATCCACTTCTACGGTGTGGGCAACCGGGAAGTAACAACCGCCCACACACTTGCAAAAGCACATCAAGCCTTCCTTAGCATCATTCTCTTTCAATACCTCTGAATTGTTGCTATTATGCGTCGAGCACTTGCTCGAATACACCGGATACTACTACTCACAGTCATTACTCTGAAATCGATCTCTGAGTCTACTGTACTAAGCATGAAAAACAGGGTTCCGATTTTCAGTACTAGTGTCAAGTCAGTTCACCAATTAAGTTTAGAAACTTGATGTGTCACCAAAAGGATTTCCAACAGCCTGCTGCAGACTTGAGTCAACAGCTACCTTCTCCGCATCCTTATTTAAAATCAGATGACTAGAAGCGATTAGCAACAAGAAACTCAGAAAGCTAGGCAAGCAAGAACCTATCTCTCAACAAATTGGCTGAAGAAAAAAACGCAGATGGATAGGACACACGCTGATGAGACCTTTGAGAGTGACAGTACCCGCCAAGCCTCTGAGTGGAATCAGAATGGGAAAGGACCAGTTGAGCGTAGCTCTAGGATTGGTATGGAGGAGGTCGTGTGGGGAGCTAGAAAAAACGACTTTGGGAAACAGGATGAAATGCATGTGCACTGTTGAAGCCTTATGTTCCGCTGGGAACTTGGGTATAGCTAACAAACACCGGTGGTTGATGTGAGTAATGTCCAAGTGCTTAGTTCAACTAATGAGTAGTATACTATTTGACATCTTGCATCTATACTTGTTATAAAATAGTGAGTAGTCAGCCTTTTGCATGTGGGTCCATTTTTAACCGATAAATCTTCCTTGAAGGATCTTTGTTTCAATAAACAAATGCTTAGCGAGTAGTGGTTTTATTCATACTATGATATTTTGGAATTGCAGTGTTCCACTGATCGTGTGGTTTGTTTAAGGTGATTTCTACAGAGTATCATTAGATTCAACATCTGTTTTTATTAGAACAATTATGGCTTCACAAATAAAATATCCTGCTCATATAGGACATGAGAATTAAAATTCAGTGGTTGAACTAACGAGAAATGACAACAAAACAGTACCCCCTCACCCAGGTTTTCCAGTGGTTCTCTAACCGATATCAGCTCATGATGAAATCCTGTAAACAAAACGCGTGGTTCAGCAAAAACTCTCTTTTCGGCTAATTTTTTTCCTCATTACTTTCATAATCCCATTTATATAGAATATTTTCATGAAAATGGTTAGTAAAAAAGTGATGAGTTGTCAAAATCAGTGTTCGTAATGGTTATCAATGCATAAAAGAAGTTGAATAAGTATGTTAGAGTTACATAATAAGATGAATAACTTAATGAATGAGTTGTAATCAGGAAGCGAAGGAGAGAATGGACTTATATAAGAGTTCTAAAGAAAGTGAAAAAGGGGTTAGAAAAACACAAACAAACATAAGTGAAGTCAGTAGAAATGAACAGGGCTGTTCCCATTCAAGTCGAGGTGGTTGAATAATTTTCCTGTGTGCTTAGTCCCAGTTTCTCTAAATGAACGGGTTTTTTCTCCTTCACATTCCCCAGTGGAACATGGGGCTTCAAGCTAGTGGCTTGAAGTTTCTGTAGCAGTGTTTATTTTACAGGATGGGGTTGCTAGCCAGCCTCATGCCCAACCTTTCCTCTTTACCAGCAATATTTCTGGCTTAGCGAGGTAAAGGAGTGCATCGGCCGGAAATTGAACCCCGGACCATGTTCCTGGTTGGCGAGCGTTCTAACCGCTATGCCACCGACGCACAAATGAACGGCTTAAGCTTGAGCAATGCAAAAAAGACGGAAGCATATTGCCTTTAACAGGTTGTTCTTCCTTTTGTAGACTATTTTGAAGGTGGAGACGTTCGTTGCGATAGAATGACCAGTGTTGGATTATCGCACTCTTTGTAAGGCCCCTAACACCTTTCTGCAACCATGGGGGGTCGTATCCTTGAAGTATTTTGAATAGGATATGAGTTGGAAGACCAATATACTAGGCTCCATAGGAACAGGTAAACTGCTATACATACATAGAAATGGGCAGATTCATAATTCCATATTTCCCTTCGTTCCTAATGTGTGTCCGATACTGGATTATTCAAGTCGCTACAACCACAATATATTTTGACGACAAATCATCCCAAAAGTTCTAGTATAATTTTCAGCACTGTATCTAGTCGTATTAATTTGCAAAGGGGTGTTTTAATTATGTCCTTTAGTTTTGAACAAATCCAGTTACTGTTTACCTGTCCCTGCTTTCTTTCTCCCGTGTGAAGTGGTATAACAAGGTGAGTAATATTGAGGTTAGGCTTTGAGTGCTAGGTAAGGAGGGGAGACCAATCGACAAGGCTGTGAAATTACATCGACTGCGGTGGTTAGGATATGTGTTATGTATTCATGCCTAGCCATCGCCTTCCTCGACCGACGGGCGACGTTAGCTGATACAGGATCAGGCTGGAAAAGAGCTAGCGGCGGTCATACCAAAAGATGGCTGCACCGGTCAATGAAATCCACAGCAGTTAGTTTAAGCCAGTCACGTAGGAACCTGTAGACTTCCTGGTTGGGGCCATCGGGACGGTGAAAACCAATGGCTGGCGACGATTGGTGATATGGCTCAAAATCGTTCTCAATGGCTTGAGCAGATGCATCCACTCCTTGTGACTTATAATTTCCAGTGAAACTCTATTGTTCTTCGTTATTACTATTCATTTGTCTCATATCTCTGTTTACTGTCTCTATTATGCATTTCTTCTACTTTCTTCTCTTGATTTGTGTGCTACAAGGAGGGAGTGTGGCGACTCGAACTGCTATACATCAGTGCAAAGTTCTATATCGAAAACAGACCGACAGTTACTGTTTACAGCAGCATTAGAAGCAGTAAAAAGACTTCCAAATGAAATTGGTCGGAGTGCTTATTAGCAAATTATCTCTTTGGTCATTCCCACGCTGGGAGCATTGATTCTTTCAGTCACAGAAGTACAGAGCAGTTAATCAGTTGATTAACTGTTCGCACAGTTTGGTTTTCAACGATTCCATGGAAATCAGACTGGGGATTTGAATTCAAATAATGCATAAAAATCTAGTGAAGGCACAGTTTATGCACAACTGGGAAATATAATCAGTTCAGAGGTTTCCACTCCAGTTTTTCCTGCCTCAGAGGAAGAAAAAGAATCCCTCCAGTTTCCACTATATTCCATGTTGCTTAAAATGTTTCTGAAGATATTCTAAACTTAATTGATGAAATCCCTTGTGGTATTAGATTCATTTCAAAGAATTTTAAAGATTTATACCTACCTTATCAATCGTCTTGATTTAGATATGTTGGGCATGGACTGGATTATTGATAAACTATCCTTTCCGTGACATTGATAAAATTATGCGAATTTTTCGTGCAATTTTGTGTTCAATATCCACCATAAATGTCTAACTCTGTTCAAAGGACAATGTGATAATTTCCTTACTTTTGCTGGTGAAGTCGTGCACGAAGCAACGATCCCACACTATACATGTGGGGGTTGGGTGCGGGAGGAAGTACCATTGACAGTGAATACACAAACTTAAAAATATCTCCTAGTGATACTCCAGTTGAAAGTCTATTTGAAAGAGGGAGATGTTAGGAGGGACAAGTTATCATTCTTATCCATGAAATTATGAATGATGTGTGCACTGACACGATAACCTGATTGGTTTATGTTAGGCTTGAATCTTTGAGGATTTTCAAACTATATATATATATCTGTGTAAATAAGCGTTTCTGTTGTCGCAGTAATATCTAACCCTTGTGTCTCTGTGACA